TATGGATGCCCAGGAGCAAATATTATTTTGGAGTCAATTAACTCCCATGAACTCAGACAGTCTCTCACCCTGTTCGTTCCATTCTAGGCCATGGGTTCCGATGTGAAGTTCTTCAGCTGATCTTCTCGGTCCTATCTTGGCATTAAAATCACCCACAATGATCTTGTAGAAGGTGTGGTCTTCTTTATAGAATTTCTCTAGCTCCATGTAGAACTTCTCGATTTCTCTTTCATCATAATGAGATGTTGGTGCGTAGACAACGAAGATAGAAACTGCAGGCAGTGAGCCACATCTATTCAAATGTAAACGTCCGATTCGGGTTGTTAGGCATTCGAATGAATCAATGCTCTTGGCCAAGTTTGTGTTGATAAGGACACCGACGCCTCCAACACCTCTTTTATCGCATGTTCCGAGGAACAATTCTTCTCCAGTGTCGAAAACGGCATGGTGAGATTCGTGTCTTCTTGTCTCGGTCAGACCAATGATGTCGTACTTGATCATTCGCGCTTGTACCATCAGGTCCTCGATGGATGCATCTGATGCTAGCGTACGTGCATTGAAAGTACAGACGATCATTTTTGTCTTCCTTCGTTGTGGCAGCCTAGGTCGGCCTTGAGATTTTGTCGGCCTCTCCTTTCTCATCCTTCTCAGTGCTGCCATGTCGGTGAAGCCTTCAGGGTCAGGTGAATGAGACCAGTTGTAGTTACTGGTTTTGGCATATCGAATACACAGCGGATAGCTTGCCAGGCTCTTCCGTGCGGGCGGAATACTCTCGGTAGCTTGCCAGTCTTTCCGAGAGGTATAGAGGCTTTTGGGGTGACCTCTAAACACCCTTGTAGGTGTTACCATATTTGAACCCTATCAAATATGGTACGACAATTCCAGAAGACGGGTATTTAGTGTCTTATGATGTGTCGCGCGGCCGCTGTGGTGGTGGGAGCAAGCAGAGAAGCTCTGTCCCTGGGTCCGCCGAGCCTGGAGTCCAAGGTCTCAGAGAGTTCCGCTTACCTTGTTCTGTGGGTCTTCAGTTGTGCGTGGGTCTCGGCCGGAGCTGCCGCGCGGTTCCGGAAAGCGTCCTGGAGTGTGGCGACGGCTGGGTAGTGGAAGTAGTGTCTGAGTTCATCATGTCGACCAAGACCATTCATGGAAACTCACAGTTCCAGAAGGCAGAATCTAAACGATGGACATGGGAGTCTCCCGGTGGACGATTCCACAACGAAATAGACCACATCATATTCAATCGACGGTTTTGCCTGACTGATGTCGCTGTTGTCCCAAAATTTCGAACGGGATCGGACCACCGTCTCCTTCGTGCAAAATTCTACTTCACAGAGCGGGGAGAAAGGGCTGCAAAGTTCAAAAAGAGAACTCCCAGAACGACCACCAACTGGGAACTCTTTGGTACTATTGCGGCAACATGGGAAGATGCCATTGTTGACAACATTGACGAGGAATACGATCGACTGGTTCAGCACCTCCATGAATGTGCGAGGAACGCCAAGAGAGAGATAGCCACAAAAAGTCGCCTATCTTCGAAAACTCTTGAGCTAATTCGCCAGCGTGGTTTGGCGCATGCCTCAGGCAACCGCAAGCTAACGTCCGAGCTTGCAAAGCAGTGCAGAGATGCGATCAAGGAAGACCTCAAAGAGAGAAGAGCAGAAGTACTGGTAGATGCGGCAGAAGCCGGGAAAAGTATTCGTAACGCCCGCCTGTCCTTCGCCAACTATAAGACCAAGATGACTGCCCTCCGACGTCCTGATGGATCCATCACATCCTCCAGAACGGCAATGGAGAAGATTATCCATGACTTCTACTCAAATCTCTTCGATAGCCATGTCCACTTGCCGACATACCAAATTCCACAGGATGGGTATGTCGTTCCCAACGTTCTCCCTTCCGAAATCCGACACGCCATTTCGTCAGTAAAGAAGCAAACAGCACCCGGCCCAGACAAGGTCAGACCTGAACACCTGAAGAACCTGCCGTCAGTACTCATCAATACACTGGCTCGGCTCTTCACTCGCTACCTGTCTGAATGCAAGGTTCCATCTCAATGGAAAACCAGCAGGACCGTACTACTGTTCAAGAAGGGAGACATCCATGACATTGGCAACTATCGCCCGATCTGCCTATTGTCTGTCATCTACAAGTTGTTCACTCGAGTCATCCTGAATAGGATTGGCAGAACACTAGATGAAGGACAACCATGTGAGCAAGCAGGGTTCCGCAAAGGATTCAGCACCATCGACCATATCCACACGATAACCAAACTCATTGAGGTTTCTCGGGAGTTCAAGATGCCGCTCTGCTTAACGTTCATTGATTTAAAGAAGGCCTTTGATTCTGTTGAGACGGAAGCGGTCATTGAAGCCCTAGCCAATCAGGGCATACAAGCCCAATACATCAGGATCCTCCGTGAGCTGTATTGCGGATTCACTACCAGGATCTCACCATTCTACAAAGAAGTGATCGTTGATGTCAAGAGAGGGGTGCGGCAGGGTGATACCATTTCACCAAAACTCTTCAGTGCCACCCTCGAGAACATCATGCGACGACTGGAATGGGAAGGAATGGGAGTGAAGATAGATGGTCGGCAACTACACCACCTCCGCTTTGCTGATGACATTGTTTTAATAACACCAAACATCAGCCAAGCGGCACAAATGCTGGCCGACTTTGACCGTGAGTGTGGAAAGGTAGGACTACAGCTGAATCTTACGAAGACAATGTTTATGAGAAATAGCCTTGTTCCTGACGCCCCATTCGCTCTCAATGGAACGACCATCTCCGAATGCAACAGCTATGTGTACCTAGGTCGAGAGGTCAACATGACAAATGACCTGGCACCCGAGCTGCGCAGGAGGAAGAGAGCGGCTTGGAACGCCTTCAAGAACGTCGAAGAAATAGCTAAGAGGACGAAGAACCTCCGGCTCCAGGCACATCTCTTTGATTCCACTGTTCTTCCTGCATTAACATATGCCTCAGAGACCTGGGCCCTACGCAAACAAGATGAGAACGCCATTCAGGTCTCCCAAAGAAGAATAGAAAGAGCTATGCTTGGAATATCACGTTTCACTCAAATGAGAGAACGAATCCGGAGTTCTGACATCCGTCGACGATCAAGGATCAGGGACGCTGTCTCATTTGCCAAGGTGTCGAAAATCAGATGGGCTGGTCACGTAATGAGATTTAAAGACGACCGTTGGACTAGAGCTGTTACTGATTGGATTCCACGGGATGTCAAGAGACCGCGTGGCCGCCCACCTACCAGATGGTCAGACTTCTTTGTCAAGGTCATGAACGATCCGTTTGAGGCCCTCCATGTTCCCGGAGCGAAGAGATGCCATTGGGCTACACTAGCACGCGACAGGGACAAATGGAGACGTTACTGGCGCCCGCTCGAGCAAATCGACGACTAACGGGAAGTTAAGTGATTAAGTGATTAACTCCCATGTTACAAAGCATAGCATAAGTTGTCTTTCTGTGTCTATACAAAAAGGGCATTGTTAAATAAACCATGCAAATGACATAAAGGAAAGAGAAAAGCAATATAGGATTATTATTGCTTGATGGAATTGGGTGTGCCTCAGGGGCATTGTTGTGGGAGTGGCTCAATAAATCTAAACTCCCTACTGGAGGAGCAAGGACAACCCAATGTTACCCAACAGGTTGTGGCAAAGAGCCACATTCGCACAATGATGACGGAGAAAAGGAGAGAAAGTTAAATATAATTTTAAAAATACGTGTAATTTTGGTGACATGATTTCAATAATGTTAACTTTCATGGTTTTTTTTTTTTTGCTTTTTGGATCACACACAGTGATACTCAGGGGTTACTCTGGGCTCTGCACTCAAGAATTAACTCCCATGTTAATTCTCCTGGCGGTGCTTGGGGGACCATATGGGATCAAACCTGGGTTGGCTGCATGCAGAGCCAATGCCCTACCCACCGTACTATCGCTCCAGCCCCCAAACTCATGGTTTTATGTACAAAGCTACTGCCCCTTCACCACCTTGTCCCCAACCCTCTGCCCCCATCACCTCTCATCCTTCCCTCCCCCGAACCCCCACCTCTTCGCACTGCTTGGTGATCTCAGTTTTGCAAGGGTTTGCCCTCATTCAAGTGATACCAATACCCTTGTTCTGTTTCTCTGTAAACCGCAGATGGGGGCGATCACCTGGTATTTGTCCTTCTCCCTCTGGCTTAACAGGATACCTTCTGGTTCCATCCTCAATGCAGTGAGCTGCTAAGATTTCATCTTTACTTAGCGTTGTATCATATTCCATTGTGTATATATATATCACAACTTCTTTATCCATCTGTCGTTAGACAATTGTGTTATTTCAATATCCTGGTTATTGTGAGTTCTACAATGAATCCAGATGTACAAACATCCTTCTTAATTACTGTTTTTGTGTGTTCCTGGGATTTTTCAAGGAGTGGGATCACTGGGTCTAATGCAAGTTCAATTTCCACGCTGTCCCCCCCCCCAACTCCCCAAAAAAACAAAACCTTCAGAAGATAGTTTTATTTAAAGGAAGAGGAAAGAAAGAGGAAAGGACTTATGCTCAGTTCTGGCTGTGCTTGGGTGGGTTCCTCCAGTGTCACCTGCTAATACTCAGGGGACTCCAGGGCCACACCTGCTATGCGCAGGGCTGTTCTGGGGTCTTTTTTTTCGGGGGGTGGGAGGGGGGAGGTGTTGGGCCACACCCAATGGTGCCCAGGGGCTACTCCTGGCTCTGTGCTCAGAAAAGACCCACAGTGTCCAGGGGACCATATGTGGTGCTGGGGATTCGAACCAGGGGCAGCTGCACGCAAGGCAAGTGTCTTAACCCTGCATGACCTCTCAGCCCTTCACCTTGCATGTGCTCTTTTGAGTCACCCCTGGCAGTGCTCGGGGGCTCAGTACTTGGTATGTCACTCTGATCAGTGCTAGGGGTCAAATGTGGCTTTCACCTACTCTGGGGAGGCATGTGCTAGCCCGGGGACACGACAGTGAAGATGAGGCCCGACCAGCCCCCAGATCTGGGGAATGTAATCTGACAGACTTCCCGTTGGCATTTCTCAGATTTCTCATTGAGCAACATTTTTCCTTTCCTAAAAACCCAGACCACAGTGTTGACAGGGGGGAAACCACAACTCCATTTGTTCTTGTTTGCTGCCCAACTAACATCAGGCCTCCATCCTCAACAGAATCAACAAACTGTTCTGAGACAGAAATGCTCCACCTCTTATTTTGAGCCAGATGAATATGAACCTAGTTTTGCTGGCATCTGTAGATTCTGACAGCAGTCATATCCACAAGGAATGAACAGAAAGCTCATAGGACAAAATGGTGAAAACAACAACACAACCCAACACAACCAGTTGTGTCTATTCTTGGTATTTCCTTAAAATGCAAGTCCTCCCTGTCAGACACTTCTCATGGACGACAGTGCTCGCCCCTTCCCCCGGCCCGCCCTCACTTGGTCTCATGCCGCTGTAGACCCCCAGCAGTCTTCTCACGGGAAGCACGGTCCACCCACCAACTGCCTGCAGTTGGTCTGGTGCTACAGGAAGTCACGTCCACTTACTGGAGAGTCTGGATGCCCCTAACTGAGTCCTAAGAAAGTGAATCAGCTTGGTCTCCGTGAGGAAGATTGTCCCCAGAGTAGCTGCCAAACACAAAGTCCCCACGGCGATATGTGCCAGCCGGGCCAGCCAGCCGTGCTCACAGCAGAGGTACACCTGCGGAGAAAGCCCTGTCAGTTCCGGCTCTCCTTCCCCTAACCCACCCCCAGCACCCCTCCCAGGGGTGGGGGTCACTGTGCCGGTCCCGAGTGAGCAAGAAGGGAAAGCCTGGATTGAGGAATGGGGAACAGCCGGCAAAGGCTGCAGGAGTCGGGGGCGGGGCGGGGGAGTCTCACCTCTGAAACTCGGGTGATCCCGCCACTGAGGACGAAGACCCCGAGCAGGGCTGGCGACAGGCTCAGGCTGGTCAGAGGCCTATGGGAGCTCTTGCGGAAGTAACGGTAGATAAAGCTGAGGCTCTGTGTGATCCGAATGCCCATGTTAAAGCAGTTGGCCAAGATAAAGCCCACGCTGCCAAACCAGTGGGTCAGGAAGTAGGCCGCCACCAGGAATGAACAGGACAGGGCCAGCATGGTGCCGTTGTACCTGGGGAGAGGGAGACCAGCAGAGACGGGCAGTGGGGGCCTCGTCCCAGCATGAGCTCACTGCCCAGAGAAGTGGACTCACTCCAGGATTCCCAGGCAGCAACCCAAGCACCTACCACCCAACTGGTGTTCTTAACAGACTGCCAGAGAGCCTGGGAATGCCACCCCCCCCCCAACGGAAGAGCAAGAACACAAGCAAGACACTGTGTAAGGGAAGGGTAGGAACACACAAGTCCTGGTCAGGGGCTGAGGCGTGCCTCACGGGTGGGGTGCACATCTAACAAGCCGTGGGGTACAACATGCCCTGCCAGCTGTGACCTGGTGGTCCCCAAGTACCGCTGGGAGTGGCCTTGGGTCCCCAGTCCCATTGGGTGTGAGTCCCACACAAAGAACAAAAGAAAAAAAAAAGGCCTCACTGCACCTCAGGTCTCCTAGGTGAAGCAAAGGAATAAGCCTCAGACGCATGGGACGCTGCTTCTGGGATGGGGCTGTGGGGTGCTGGGCTTATACCGGTGCAGGAGTACACATGGCCTTTTCCGCTGGGACAGACAAGGGAGGCAGACGTGGGATGTGGGAACTGCCTGAGGAGCTCTAACCCAACTCGGGGCCCTATGCCTGGCATCATGGCCCCTGGGGACTGCAGCGGCCCTGTGCTCTCTGCGCAGGCCTGCCCCATCACCCAGCTCCCTGTATGAAGTGCCACCAGGGAGCAAGGGCGGAGTCAGTCGGCTGTCCCCCCAGCTCACTCGCGCCCAGCACTGATCTCTGTCTCTCTAACTATGTGGATTTTGGCTGAGAGGCACTGCGCCCTGCACTGCTATTCCACACGGCACATGGCTCAGGGAGGAGCAAAGGGAGCTGAGTTGAGCCGAGGCCGACCAGCTCCCTGAGACCTCCAAAGGGCCTGGACTGCCACAAACAAACTTCTCCAGTGCCCAGGGGATACGCCAAGAGTGGAGCTGTTGTTGGGGAAACCAAATCTCGTAAGGTCCCCACACAGTGCCTGCTGGGTAAGGAAACCTCAGGGGCCACCCAGGTTCTGAAGCTGAGCTGTGGGAAGAAAGAAGTGTGTCCACCAAGGGCTATGAGAGCAGGCAGTCAGAAGCACACGCACACACACGCACGCACACGCACACACGCTATCCCAACAGGGAAGAGGTGCTAGAACCCTAGAGAAGGAATTTATATGCTTCTTAGTTGAAAATTATCTTTATTTATTTCTCTGCAGCATTAGGGACTGAACCCAGGAATTTACACTGCTAGGCAAATGCTTGGCCACTGAGTCACATCCCTGGCCCTTGACAGTGAGACTCACCATAGGGTCAGTCCTGACTTCTTTTCCAAATATATGTAGATATGGGAGCTAGAAAGCCAGTACAGCAGGTGAGGTGCTTATTTTGTACACAGTCAACCTGGGTTGAATACTTGGATTCCCATATGGTCCCGTGAGGCTGCCAAGAGTGATCCCTGAGTCCAGAGTGAGGAATAAGCCCTGAGCACTGCCAAATGTGGGCCCTCCAAAATACACACACACACACACACACACACACACACACACACACACACACGTGTAGTGTTTTTTTCCCTCCTTTGGAAAGCAATTCAAAAATGAATGTTATGCTTGAAGGAAATAAAAAGTATAATTAAAAGAGAATGGCAGATCTTAGCAGAAAAAAAAAACAAGGTAATAGAGTAACTGCCTCAAGCAAAAGGCTTAATTTTTCTGAGATGAAAACAGCTCTTAGTTCTTACCTACCTAGTTTAATAATCATTAAGTGATTGATGCTAACAATATCTCTTCATGAGCCTGGCAAAAAACGACTGCTTACATTATTTTTTCTTTTCTTTCTTTGTTCTTTTGACTATTTATATTTTTGAGAGTATATAAGACAGTCAATATGTTTTACATAAAAAGTGTTCTGAAAAAGGGAAGTTCTAATTCATTTTTAAAAATTTTTGGTTTTATGACAGCCACTGAATACCTCTATTGAAAACCATAGCACCCAAAAAGAGAGAGAGAGCAAGAGGGAATGCCCTGCCACAGAGGCGGGGTAGGGTGGAGGGGACAGGGTGGGGTTGGTGGGAGGGACACTTTGTTATTGCTCCAGCCCCGGAACCTGCATTTCTAACAAACTCCATGTGGGATTCAAATTCACATTTGGCATCAAACTCTGCCAGAGGGTAGGGGCCCGAGGTCCTGATGGGGGTCAATGGATGGAAAAGCCACAGCAAATGTGTTTTCACTTTTTGGTCTTTCTCCAGGGGGAGGTGTCACCCTCGCCCCCACTCTTGATATTTGACAGGAGCCCCTGCTGGTCTGTTGGAGCACTGAGCAAGGAGAGGGAGGTGGGTTAGCTTGCTCGCTGCCTGCCTCTGCGAACCTGAACCAATATACCCGTGAGGGTCCAGGCTTCTTCCACAAAGTGGGAGAGAGCAGCCGCTGCCTGCTCTGCTGGCGAGGGGCCATGCGAGTCACCGAGGGAGCACCCAGAGAGCCTTCTGCAGTGCATGTCCAGGATGAGAGAGAGAGGACTGGTAAGTCTCTTCGATGTCCGTCAAGGTGTCTTTAGGGATACTCACCTGTCAACCTCCTCTTTGCTCATGGCAGCAAATGTAAAGCACTCGGTCACTCCATTGATGGCAAGCAGTAGGACATAGAGACTGTAGGTACGCAGCAAAACAGGACCTGTCCAAGGAAACAACCCAGAGAGACTCCAGGGCTCAGAGAACACAGTCCCGCACTGGCCCACGAGCATCGCAGGCACCGTCAGGAGTGGAAACAAGTATAACTCTACAGTCGTGGCGATCTGGACGGGCTCCCTGCATTACACGCTCCTGAGTAAGACAAGCAGCTAAAACCAAAAGGAGGGTTGTAAATAAGTGAGCAGGCCTCTTGCTTAATAACTGAAAGCTTATCTGGCCGGCAAGCAAATCTTCCCCTTTTTAGTCAACAGGAGAGACATGCTAAGCTTGACCTCTCAACGGCAGTGGCGGCTCTTCCTGTTCAGAGAACCTCAGTGCAACAGTCCCTGAAAAAAAGACTTTGAGGGATGGGGACGGGGGGCGACGATACAGCGGAGAGTGCATTTGCCTGGCACGCAGCTGACCTGGGTTCAATCCCCAGCATCCCATATGGTTCCCCAAGCACCACAGGAGCAATTCCTGGGTGCAGAGCCAGAAGTAACCCTTGAGCATCGCAGGGTGTGACCCAAAAAGTCCAAAAGAAAAAAAAATAAACACTCTGGGGTGAAGCCATGGGTCCCAAACAACAGGAAACTATGATAACAATCTACAGAGAACCAGAGCCTCTGATGCTTTCTTCCCAAACAAAGTGATGTGGTTCTATAGCTAATTAACACACTTAGATAAAATTTGCTAATGAACAGTCAGGCATTTTAAAACTGGGATTGATCCTCTCTTTGAAGGCATTCAGGGGCAGTCAAGCAATTTCTATTATAATCCATGTACACCCCACCTCTGGCCCAGCCACTGCATGCCGAGGAACGCATCCAATTGCAGTGAGAGCCCGCGTCCACAAAAACACTTGTACAGAAGCAGCTTTCTTCAAACTGATCACTGACAGGAAAAAAGAGAAACTGTGGGCCCTGCAAAGAAAATCTTGGAAATCAGAGAGGAAAAATACTGATCCATATGAAAATGCAAATCTCAAAATGTTTACATGAAGGGAAAAGAAGTCAGACCCACCAAAAAAAAGGAGGTGCCATGTGACTCCATTTGCCTGAAAATCCTTTTCTGAAGCAATACTAATCGTTTCCAGTGATCGGAGCCATCAGTGGCTGCCTCTGAGGCAGAGGGAGCATCTGGCTGGGAAGGGTCCTGAGAGGCTTCTGCAGTGAGGGAAACGTGCTGTGTCTTCATTTGGATGATGGTGACATGGGGGCACATATCTGGCCACATTTAATAGACTCACCCTTGCGGGTTCAGAATTTCCCTTCATGTACATAAGCCTCAATGAGGAAAGATCAAAACGTGGCCACTAAAAGATGAGGCAAGGGGACTGCAGGCCCATAATCTCTCACTTGTGGGTCAGTGCCAGTTCCCCATGTTGGCAGCAGTCAACAGCAACCAAGGCAGTGCCAACGGCAGAGCCCCGGGACCCAACACAAAGCTGTTCCCCGTGGCTCTCTCTCGTGAGGCTCACATTTGATGTCATGCTGCATTCTTCTCCATGTTGCTGCAGAAAGCGGCCTGTCCCCCGCCCCAGCCAAAGGATCACCCTGGGGCCTGTGGCCGGTATGTGTGTCTGCTCTTCTCTGTCCTCCGTACCGGGTGTCTGAGAGCAGGAGGCAGAGAGGCTGTGGCTGTGACTCGGGGATACAAAGGCTTGCAGGAAACCGTGGTTCAAGAAAAGGGAAGTGAATCAATTTTGGGGAAAGAGGCTGAGATGGGGGAATTCAAGGCTGGCACTTCAAGCCATGGACTGACCTGCGGAGAGTTGCTGATGGAGCTACATCCCTTATTAGCCTCCGCTCCCATGCAGGCTGCAATCCTAATCTCAAGTATCTTAGAACAGGACATCACTTAGCAATAGAGGTCATCAGAACAAGGTCTCTAAGGGTGGGTTCTAACACCTTCAGATTTGTGCCTCCTTGTGAGCTGGGGATATTCAGGGGTGAAGACAGATGTGCTCCCCAGTAGAAACTGATGAGAAGAGACCTGGCTGCAGGAACCCAGGTGAGCAGATGTGTCCACGGAGCCTGTAGCAAACATGCCACCCAGCCCCTTTTAGCCTCCAGGTCGGGGAGATAATACATTGCTATCAGTTTTAAGTTAGCTAAGTTATGGCATATTGTTACTGCGGCCCTAGGAAATGAATATGAGGACCAAGAGGAAGATTCGTTTTTTAAAGTAAAGGAGGCACAGGGGCTGGGATCTATAGAAAGAGCGCGTGGCCAGCATGGGTGATGTTCTGAGTTCCTGACACCACATGGCTCTCATAGAGCACTGCCAGTATGGGCCAAGTTCCAACAGCCGTGGATCATATCTTAAAAATAAAAATAATAATAACAAAAGGAAAGGAAAGGAGTACGAGAAAAGAGAAAAACACCTCAGGGATCTCAGATAAACAGGAGAACCCCAGGGAGCTGCAGCAAGTGCCTGTGCTTTTTTTCCTAGGAACGGGAAAGCTAGCGAGGAGGAAGATGTGGAGAAAAGTATCCAGGGAACAGACAAAGCCCCGGATTCTCTTCAGTCCCAAACAACACAGAGTGCAACCTCAGTGTCCCCAGGAGAGCCGGCCTGTGCACCCTCCTGTGTCCTGGGGGACAGCAGGCCTAAGGACGGGGTCTCAGTTCCAGTCCAGGTCAAGTCTATGAACGGGCAAAGACTGAGCGCCCCAGGGCCTGAGGACAGGGGCCCAGCAAGACGCCACACCACCTCCCAGAGATCTGCTGGCTCAGTGACAGGGCCTCGGAGAGCACAGCCTGCTGGGTGGTGATCCGAGGGAGCTTGGGGCCAGGAAAAGATGACACTGGTCCTACAGATCCCATGGTGGCACTCCAGGCCACTTGTGTCTGTCAGCAACAGAGACGTCAGATGTTTTTCTAGACCCCTCTCTCTGAAAAGAATCTTTCTGATCATACAATTACTTCATATAATTTTTTTTTTTGGTTTGGGGGTGATATCTGGCCGTGCCCAGGCTTACTCCTGACTCTGCTCTATGCTCAGGGGTCACCCCTGGTGGTGCTGGGGGGACCATATATGGTGCTGGAGATCAAAGCAGGGCTGGCTGGCCATGTGCATGGCAAGAACCTTAGCACAAGTGCCCCCTTGTATTGGAGGGCACTCCAGTCTCTAAAAAAAAAAATTAATGATGATGACATCAATCATGGAAGGTCAGAATTATTGCCTGAGAAGTCAGCCAGCACAGAGCTGTTTAGCCTATCAGCCTTCTGCCAGCATTCTCAGTGGAAGCAGCGCCTCAGTGGGCCAGAGGACCCCAAGGACAGCAGGCAGGCAGTGTCTGGGGGAGAATCATTGCACTGCTGAACATTACATTGAGAGACAGCCACCTCCAGGGATCATGCTACACTGAAGACTGGTCCTCGGTGCTTACTCCGCCAAAAGGGCAGAGCAGCTGAGAAACACGCAGGCCCACCTGCACAATGACATCCAGAGAGCTGCCTGAGGTGGCCCCTGCAGAGGCCGATGGAAAAGGACTTCTCCCCACACAAGCCCCAGGGAGCCAGCAACCCCTGCACTGGGAGCACCCCCAAACTAACAGCCTTTGCTGGAGGGCAGTGTTTCTCAACTGAGTACCATGGGGGGGTGTCGGGGGGGGGAAGCACAGCATGAGACCAGGGGGCCAAACAGTAGAACAGGGGATGCAGGAAGGAAACATGGCTAGAAGGGGACCAACAATGGAAAAAGGTTGAGAAACTCTGCCACGGTGTGGCAACTTGGCCCTTCCTTCCCTAGTCCCCAGAGCTGGTGCTCAGATGGTGAAGACGATACATGCCAGTGAACTGGAGGATGGAAAAGCCCTCTATGCTGAGACGGAATGGCACTATTTAATGATGGGCAGGTTAGAAATTCTCTACTGGGGGCTGGAGCGATACTACAGCAGGGAGGGTGTTTGCCTTGCATGTGGCCAATGTACGTTCGATTTCTGGCACTCCTCCTGGTCCCCCGGGGCAGATTTCCTGAGCACAGAGTCAGGAGTAAGCCCTGAGCACCAATAATTGTGGTCCAAAACAAACAAAAAAATACACCCCCCCCCTCCCCAAAACAAAAAGTTCTTGGCAGACCCAAGACAATGAAGCACTGCAAATGGGCTGCCAGCTTATGGGCCAAGACATCTGGGACTAAGTCATCCGGGCCCAAGTGCCGGAAGCTCTCAGCAGCCTGGGTGCCAGGTGATTCGAAGTCAGACACTTTAATACTTTTATCCCTCACAAACCTAGCATCACCGGATTAAATACAAGCATTTTCTTTGCCGAGATCAATTTTGTTCTCTGTGAATGGCTCTAGGTTAGCCCTTGGAGGCTTCACTGTGAGAATTATGTGGCATTTACTATCTTCAGATGTGTTGAGCACCAAACAGAGACTCAGCGTCTGCTCTCAGCCTTCCTCCCTCACTCCGGAGGGAACACTGGGAAGCACTTGGCAAAACGCATTTGAGGCCTGAGAGGAGAACCAAGGGTTTCTAGCAGCTTCTCCAAATGAGGCTGGGGAATTGCTAGGCCTGGTGCCCAAGTTCCGGATGGCACACTGGCAGGAGAGGCACAAGCCCCGCGGCCCCCCACCCTGACACCTTGCCCTCTGCCACACAGATGAAAGAGGTGCCACACAGGTGCTGGGATGCACTGAGCTCTTCTATTGCTATTCGCAAGTCAGAGGAAGACTCGGAAAACTCTGCATACCTGATCCTGAGCTAAGCATGGTCCCTCCGTAGATATCCAGAGCCAGCTGAGAATAGGCAAAGCCGAAAACAGTGATGGTCAGGCCAGTCAGTAGGGCCAGTTTGAGCAGGGACTCTAAAACCACGGCAGCCACAGCAACGTCCTCCTGGGGGGAAAGAGGGTGTCAGGGAGTGAGAGCAGGAGGAGAGGGAAGGAAGTTGCATGACTCATGAGTCAAGAAAGGTTCCACGCTGGGCTTCTCCCTTTGCTGCTTCGGTGTTCACTCTCAACTTTTCCAACCAATGACAGCGTCACTACTCTTCTGACCTTTGCTTCTGTCAACTGGCAAACGAAGGGGAAAACCTGCGCCTCCTTAGACAGTAGAAGGAGGTCTGGTTTTCTACTTATTTAGAATAAAACGGTCTTAAATGCTGCTTAAGAAACACTTGCTTTGCATTCTGATATTTAGTCTTAAGTGGACAGAAGTGTTCATGTTGCTAGTATTGTCAGTGCCTTGGGTTTTTTGGTTTTGGGTTGTTTTATTTTTATTGCAGTTTCAAAGTCCTGACATGAATGTCGATGTGCACTTAGGAAAATATTCCTAATAAGACACAGCCAGATGGGCCAGACCGATAGTCCAGCCAGGAGGGCGTTTGCCTTGTACATGGCTGACCCAAATTCGATCCTTGCTACCACATATGGTCTCCCGAGACTGCCAGGAATGATCCCTGAGTGCAGAGTCAGGAGTAAGCCCTGAGCATCACAAAAATAAAAGACTGAGAGCCACAGAAGCTCATTTTGAGGTACTGTGCTTTTTAACTATGTTTTGTGAAATGTTTTCTATACCACATAAGCAGACAATCTAGCTTGGCATTTTTGTTGTTTTAGGGTCATATCTGGCAGTGCTCAGGAGTTACTTCTGGCAGACTGGGGAGACCATATGTGGTGCTGGAAATCAAACCCAGTTTGGCCACATGCAAGGAAAACTCCCTATTCACTGTACGATGGTTCTGGCTACTTAGCATGATTTTAATTCTAACTCAGACTCTGTGTGTGTGTGTGTGTGTGTGTGTGTGTGTTGCTGGGGTTGAACCCAGGGTCTCATCATGTACTCCACCTCTGAACCTTATCTCCTTTCCAATGGTTTTGGAAAAAGTGAAGATTACACAATAAAATGACTCTTGAATTAAAACCTCTTCCTCTTCCCCTTCCAAACAACCAACATGGAGAGATTATCAAGATCAGAATATAGCTCATGGCATTTCACGGTCTATAAGAAGTTTTAAAATCTGGTGTTTTTACCCAAAAGAACTGAGCTCAGGGGCCTGCCATTCAAATGTGACTTTTAAAAAAAGAAAAAGAGGGGGCTGGAGCAATAGTACAGCGAGCAGAGCATTTGCCTTGTACGCGGCCAACCCGGGTTTGACTCCCAGCATCCCATATGGTCCCCTGAGCACCGCCAGGAGTAATTCCTGAGTGCATGAGCCAGGAGTAACCCCTGTGCGTCGCTGGATGTGACCCAAAAAGAAAAAAAAAAGAAAAAGAAATCTAGACAGAAATTTTAGCTAAAATACAAGGGAGAAACAACCTTTCTGTCTATCTTACAATTAGAGTATTCACGTGCACAACAGAAATATAAAACCCAAGCCTACCTGCTTCTGTTGCGTGGCCTCCTTTTCTCTCTCCAGCACCTTGGCAAAGAATATATAAAAACTTTCTTCTATCGGCTGGAAAACTATCCTGGGCATCAGGGAACCAAGATTATTCACTATGTCATATACACCTATAAAGCAAAAAGAAAGAACCAACAATCTTATTGTGTTTACTATTTGAAATTCCAGAGCCTAATAATCTATTTCTCTAATTAAATTTGTTTGTTTTGGGGTCACACCCAGCAGTGCTCAGGGCTTACTCCTGGCTCGGCACTCAGGGACCATAGGGGGTGCTTGGCATCAAACCCAGGTCAGCCACATGCAAGGCAACTGCCCTACCCATTCTATTATCACTCTGGTCTCTTCGCTCAGCTATTTTTTAAAATTATTTTTATTGAAGATCCATGAGACAGATCATTACAAAGCTGTTCATGGTTTCAATGTTCCAACACCCATCCCCCCACCAGTGTACATTTCCCAGCATCAATGTCCCCAGTTTCCCTCCATCACCCCCAACCACCCCCACTGCCTACTTTTCTTCTCTCTCTTTGGGCATTGTGGTTTGCAACACCAGATATTGAAAGGTTATCATATATATCCCTTTATCTACTTTCAACACTCAGCTCTTGTCTGGGGTGATGATTTCTAACGGGCACTGTCATAGTGGTGCCTTCTCTATCTCGCCTACTCTCCGTCCCCCACAAACTTGTGGTAGATTCCACCACTGACCAATCCTCCTGCCCCATTTTCCCTGGCCTTGGATATTAATCTAATACAATTTTTTTTTAATATATCACAAATGAATGTAGTCATTTTGTCTGTCCCTCTCCTTCTGATTCATTTCACTCAGCATGATACTCTCCAGGTCCATCTATTTATAAGCAAATTTCATAACTTTATTTTTTCCTAACAGCTGCATAGTATTCCATGTGTGGATATACATAGTTTCTTTAACCGGTCATCTGTTCTCAGGCACTTGAGTTATTTCCAAATTCTGGCTATTGAGAATAGTGCTGTAATAAAAGCAGAGATGCAGATGGTGTTTCTGTTGTGTTTTGAGGCCCCCCAGATATGTTCCTAGAAATGGTATTGCTGGATCAAATGGGATCAATTTCTAGTTTTTTGAGGAATGCCCAATATTGTTTTCCCAAAAAGGCTGGACCAATCAACATTCCCACCAACAATGAGTGAGAGTCCCTTTCTCCCTGCATCCACACCAGCACTGGTTGTTCTTGTTCTTCTGGATGTGTGCCAGTCTCTGCGATGTAAGATGATATCTCATTGTTATTTTGATTTACATCTACCTGATGATTAGTGATGAAGAACATTTTTTCATGTCTTTTGACGATCTGAATTTCTTCTTTGAGGAAGTTTCTATTCATTTCTTGTCCCCATCTTTTGATGGTGTTGGACATTTTTTTCTTGTAAAGTTCTATCAGTGCCTTGTATATCTTTGATATTAAACCCTTATCAGATGGGAAATGGGTGAATAATTCCTCTCCATGGGCTGTATTTGTATCGTGGTCTCTGTTACTTTTGAGGTGCAGAAGCTTCTTAGTTTAATGTAGTCCCATTCATTCAGCTCTTTAAATTCTCCCTCCAACCCTGCATTTCTTTATTATAATGGTGACTCCCTGTCCTCTTAGCTCACCTAACCCCTAAAATGAGCACCTAAGCTTTGCAAGAAGGAGGATAAGGTCAAGAGATCTCACCAGGGGTCTGGGGCCCAAATCACACAAACAACGTGTCCACTATTTTTACAATGAACTGTAATGTGTAATCTTTAGGTTTATTTTTCACTATGTATCAAACCAGAGAAAAATATTATAAAGAATCTACTAGTATGTACTGAAAGTATTCAACTTATGTAAAACATCTTACCCTGGTCGCCAAAATTTAACACATTCAAAAATGTCATCACATATCGCTCACCTATAAATGAAAAAGCAGAATAGCATTTCATTTCATAAGCACACTATTTTTTTTCTCTTTCTCTTATCATCTACCAACTTTTCTTATTTGCAGATATTCTCAAAGGACAAAAATTCGTCAGTTAAAAAAATAACTTGTTTCTTGGGTCGGAAAAATGGTACAGTGGGTAGGGCACTTGCCTTGCACGCAGCTGACCTGGGTTCAGACCCCAGCACCATATATGGTCCCCTGAGCATAGCCAGGAGTGATCCCTAAGCAGAGAGCCAGGAGCAAGCCTTGGTACTTCTACGTATGCCCCTAACCCCCACACAAAGATATGTTTCTTATCCCAATGTTGATTTAAAATAATCTCAAAATAACAACAATTTGGAAAGTACTGGGGTTTTACTGACAACAAATCTCCAAGCCCGTTAAAAACAAGACCAAACAATTTAATAAAAATAGTTTGTGGACGGGGGTGGGTAGGGAGAGAGAGTACCAGAGAAAGGCACTTGCCTTGCATACGGTTGCTTTAGGTGTGACTCTGGCCAGGCCCCTGCACTGCATATGGTCTCCTGAGCACTGCCAAGGATCGCTCCTAAGCGGAGAGGCAGACAGAGTGCCTGGGCACCACCAGGCCTGGTCCCAAAACCTGTAGAGCAGTCAGGCCTGAGAGGCAGCTCAAAAGGCCGAGTGCATGCTGTACATGCAGCAGGCCTGAGCTTAATCCCAACACCACATTGTCCTGAGCACTGCTGGGAGCCACCTCTGAGCAAGAGCACGGAACTGGCAACAGCCTCTAAGATCCACCACGGGTGCCCCCACCTTTACTCTCCAGAAGAAACCACAATCAGTCCTTTTTTTTTTTTTTAAGTATGAGATCACGAAAGTGTTAACAGTGAACATTACTGTCCCAAGATTTGGGGAGGTGGGCCTCCCAAGCAGTGTTCACAGGGCCCAGGGGCCCCTTTCAATAATACTTGCTTACAGTTCCACGCCCAGGCCAGTGGTGCTGGGGGCCTCCAGGGTTATCCCTGGTAGTACTCAGGGGACCATATGGTGCAGGGGATAGACCCAGGGTTGGCCATAGGCCAGGCAAGCACCTCGACCCCTTTCGGGCCCCTCCTAGTTCTGTTACCACCGAGTTCATGCTTTCGGTCTCTCTCCCCCAGCCTCACCTCCACCTCACATCCTCCCAGTCACCCTCCTGACACGCCCCAGCAGGCTGGCGCTGGCTGCTCCCCCCTGCTTCGGCTCCTCAGCAATCTGCATCTGCATTCCCTGCGACTGTTTTTTCCAGGGGGATCTCCCTGGCTCCAGGCAACGTGGGCTTCTCCCCACTTTCTCTAAGTTCCCAGAGGGCAGGAATCACGTCCCAGCGCCTCCGTGCCCCGGGTTTACCTAGCCGAGCCAAATTCCGGGGACCGCAGGATGGGCTGTCCCACACACAGCCCTCAGAGCCCTGCGTTCACTACGCGGAAGGCCGCGTCTCCTCGAGAGGGGGCTCCTCGAGCTGTGGCCTCTGACTCACTCGTCTGCGAGTGAGCACCTGGCACACAGTGTTCAGGAAACGTGGGGGCAGAGCGTAACAGCACAGGCGTTTGGGCTACGGTAATGAATGACTTCCACATTTTTTTGGAGCTGTAGTTTTTAGATCAAAAGGGCCCAGGGTCCACCTCCTTGTCCCCCAGCCAGTGAGGCCACCGTGGCCCAGGCGTGGTACGCTCACGAAGCCAGCACACGGCAGGCGCTGCCACCGCAGTCAGTTCCTGCTGGGGGGCCGGGTACACGCCGGAGCCCTCTGGCCACCATACCACGGCAGGGTCTCGGCGCTGACTGACCCTTCCCTCAGTTCATCTGAGATCTGAGGAGGAAAACGCATTTCCTCCACCAGGGACTTTCCTATTCCAACAAGAATGTGGACAGCACAATACATATAATTTCATAGCCATTAGCTGTCTTTCTCCACAGATGACTGCTCTCCTGAGGCAGGCTGGCAGGCTGAGGCGGGCGTGACGGGCACACGCTCTGCTTTCCACCGCTGAGCAGCGCGGCCCTTCGCTCGGCTCCTCCAGGCTTCTGGCCTCTCGTTTCCAGGAGTCCTGCCAACGCTTTTGCTTTCCTGGCAGTGCCGGTACCCGTACAGGCTCAGCTCTCAACAGCACCCAAAGCCCCAATCCCTCACACCCTTTTGGACCTCGACGGAGCTCACAGACGGGGAAGAGGGAGGCTCAGGGCCATTAGTACCCTCAGAAATATAACCAATGAGAATTACGGAAGGGGTAGATGGAAAATAACAGGCTAATAAGAATGATGGCAGTATCAGAGTGCTGGGATTGTATGCGACTTCTCTTTCCAAATAATCGACTCAATAGTTTTTTTTCTGTCATTCACATTTTGTTTTGTTTTTTGGGGGGCCACGCCAGCTGTTCTGAACACAGAACAGCGCTTGGTTCTGCACTCATGGATCACTCCTGGTGGGACACGGAGACGGTATGGGGTGCTGGGGATTGAACTCGGGGGCCGGCCCTGTACAAGGCAAGCACCCTAACCACTGTACTACTGCTATGGCTCAAGAAAATTATTTTTTAGGAAACTGGTTCAAAAGCGAAAACTCTAAAGGACATGAAAATGAGATGATGGGCAATTTCCTCCATTTTCCAGATTTTCTGTAATTGATAAAAACACTTTTATTTCTCTCAGGGGTAAATTGTGGGCTGGGAGTTCGAGCCAAAGCAAGCTACTCATCACTGCAGCACGCTCCAGAAATTAGGGAGTTTTCCATCACCGTTTCCTCAGCCTTAATACAAAGAGCAACAATTCTTTGCTGTGGTGAGATTTGAACTTGATGACTTAGAAAAGCATTGTAGTAAATGAATGCTAACTTCCCTCTCTTCACAGAGAGATCCAGGGGCTCAGGGGGCGCTGCCCAGGGAGCTGGGCGGGCAGTCAGCGTCTCTTGAAATCCCAGCCCTTACCTCGCACCGTGGTTTCTTGAGTGCTCACCATGACCTTTACTTACCTTCGGTCAAAATCTGTTTCAGGAAAGATTGTTTGAAAAAACTCCACGTCAATTTAGCCTCTGTCCAGTTTATAAACGCCTAGAAGAGAAAACAAGACAAAAATCCAAAGTCCCAGGCACTGTGAGTCTTAGAAGACACTGGTGATACATGATCGCCTCATTTTGGTCCCTACATCCCGACTTGGGTGACTTCATGCTAATCACACAGAATGGAGCTGACAAACACTGGCAAGGGATTTACATTCCAAGGGCCAGGAATGTAGTTCAGGGGAAGGGCGCTTGCCTTGCATGTGGCCAACCTGGGTTAGATCCCCAGCACCACCTATGATGCTCTGAGTTCAGCCAGGAGTGATCCCTGAATGCAGGGCCAGGAGTAAACCCTGAGAAGTGCTGGCTGTGGCCCAAAACCCAAAAGGGATTTTTTAAAAAAAAGTGTGCTTTCCCTTTGGAGGCCCAGAGAACGAACTATTACAATTTTTATATATATTATATTCATTTTGTCACTGTCACTGTCCTCCCATTGTTCATCAATTTGTTCGAGTGGGCCCAGTAACGTCTCCATTGTGACAATTGTTACTGTGTTTGGCATATGGAATACATCACGGGTAGCTTGCCAAGCTTTGCCATGCGGGCGAGATACTCTCAGTAGCTTGCTGGGCTCTCCGAGAGGGGTGGAGAAATCGAACTCGGGTCGGCCATGTTGGCCACTTGCAAGGCAAGTGCCGTACCTGCTGTGCTATCACTCCAGCCCATTATATATATATATATTTATATATATATATATATATTCCTCTGCCCCTCTCGGAGAGCCCAGCAAGCTACTGAGAGTATCTCGCCCACATGTCAAAGCCTGGCAAGCTCCTCGTGATGTATTCGATATGCCAAACACAGTAACAAGTCTCACAATGTTACTGGGCCCACTCGAGCAAATCGATGAACAACGGGAGGACCATGACCATGATATACATATATATATAGATATATAATATTCATTTAATATAAACATTGAATGAAAGCACTCACAGCAGATTTTTTTCCTTAAAAAAAGAAAATAAAACATTGTCCAGAGAGACAGGGAGACAGTACAGGAGTTTGGGCGCTTGTCTTGAATCCCACAGATCCAGTTCATTCCCTGGTGCCACATATTGTTCCTTGAGCAGTGCCAGGAATGAGTCCTGAGCACAGAGTCAGAAGCAATTCCACCAAGTTTACAAAATAGGTCATGAATTCAAACTCTAGTGTTTTACGCCTGTTCATATGTTACATACTGGGACCCCTACCTCCACCCACACTGGAGAGAGGACTTGGAAGAGGTTTCAGTGGTTTAAAAAGCACCCAGGGTAAAGATGGGGTGGTGAGCTCGTGACTCAGTGTCGGTACTGTACCGGTACGACCTAACGATCCTAAGAGCCCCAGAGGCTAGGGCTCCCCAGTGAGGGGAAGACTGTGTGTCTGGAGCAAGATGAGCTGCGGGACAGACAACTGTGCCCAAAGGATGCCACACCACAGTGTGATGCTGCATCTTCTAGAGCCCATTCCAGAGGGTCTGAGCTTAGTCTGTCCCAAACAAATTCCTCTTTCCCAGGGAGCAGAGATCATTCAGAACTGGTATGGTAGAAGAAAGCCAGGGAGGGGCGGAGGGGGAGAGGGGCAGAAAACTGAAAGGGCTTTTTCAACATTCCATGGGGTATCAAACTGCTCATTTCCTCAGGACGGGGTGGGGGTGGGGGGGTGGGGCAAGAGGGAACAGACACTTAGGCAAGGAGGAGCCCAGTATGTCAGAGAGAGGCAGCCCCACCTCCCGGCCAGCAGACCCCACAGAGGCGGCGTGGGGGCCAGCTGGACTTGACTTCTTTCTCCCATCTCCCCAGTTCCTTCAAGGGCACAGGCCCCCTCGACCATGAAGTCATTCTGCAGCCCCCATGCTAGACAGCAGGTTGCTCATCCAGGGTGCCTGCATCTGCAATGCTCTGGCCTGCTCGGAGTAAAGGATGGGACGTCAGTAGGCACTCTGGGAGGGAGGGGGGAGCCGCAAGGCCGGGCTACAGCCACCGCTCCAGAAGGTCAACTTTGGCTATGGAAGTTGGTCCAAAGGCAAGTCCTAGTCCCCTGGGCCCCCAGGAGAATGTCTCAAAGCCCCTCTGTGGAGAACAATGCCATCTAGGAGACACGGATGCAGGAATATTTTTGCCCCCTGGCAGCCAGAATAAATAGTAAAAAAGAAACACATTCTTAAAAAATGTTAATGTAGTTTATTTAAACCAAATCATCATTTTGACATGTAATCAATTAAAAAATAAATATATATATATACATATACACACACTCTAAGAGGCATTTCACACCGTATTTCCCAACACAAGGTCTCTGGAATCAGAGTGCATTCTGAACTCAGCATTCTTCTTAATTCCAATGAGCCAACATTCTCTGTAGCTCTAAAGTGGCTACCTTTCTGTAGCTCTAAAGTGGCTACCTTTCAGGACAAGGCCAGTCTAAGAGAATCCTGAAAGCAAGGGTACTTTCTCCTGGCTTCAGAACCTTTCCCGCAGACAAGGGGAAGAAGTCTTGGGTCCTCCCAAACGCTGCTGCATCAAGACTACGGAGAACCTGGATGGAGCCTTAGGCTGGACCAGAAACGCCTTTCCCAGAACAAAGAGAGCCTGACTACCCACCACCACTAGGGGGCACTGTTGGCCACCTCATGCTTGGATCTAGCCTTGCGCTCGAAGGTGTGGGAAGCAGACCGCCTTAGCTCACTCTGCATCCCACAGGCCCAAGAGAAGTCTTTTCAAAGAAAAAGAAAGAAATAATTACAAATGGGCTGTGACGTTCTTATGAATGCCCACCTGCTGTAAACTGTGGGTTTGGGAAGATAACAAACCTTTTTTGTTTATTTTTGGGTCACGCTTTTTTTTGTTTTTGGGTGCCCGTCAGCGCTTACTACTGGTTTTGCAGTCAGGGCTCACTCAAACGGGACTCAGGGGCCCATGATGGGTTCCAGGGAGCAAACCCAGGTCAGCTGCATGCAAGACAAGTGCTTTACCCACTGGACCATCTCTCCAGACCCTTTGACACAGTAAGAAAGTTCTTTCCTTAAAAAAAAAAAAACCCTAATTTTAAAAAATAAGAAAAAAGTTCCTTCACAGCATGAAATTATGACAGTGTATCTGATGTTTAAGTGCAGGCATGAGGGGTCCTTTCCCCTGATGCCCCTATAAACGGCTCAGTGGCTTGGAGGGAAGGTCACTGCTCAGAGTCCAAAATGGTCAGTAAGGATGAAGAGCTGAAAAGCGCCACTGAGGTGGCTGTCTGAGCTGCTGAGTGGGAGGAAGCAGTTTATTTGGGTTACTATTCTACTCCGAACGTGGCTGCCACTAGGGATACTCACAAGAGGCGTCTTTTCTTTCTTTTTAAAATAGGAGCCACACCTGGTAGTGTTTGGAGCTAACCATGCTGGGGGGTCACCAGGACCACAGCTGGGGGGCAGAGAAACACGCAGTGCCCTGGATCAAACCCAGAGCCTCTGAAGCCTCCCCCTTACCCCCCACCCAGACAAGATCCGTTTTTCAAGAACTGGGTTGGCAGTGCTGAGTTGGTCTGCAGAGCTACAAATTTCCCCAGAATTCCCTGCTCAACAAGCCACTTCTTGCCTCCTGAACTGATGGAGAAAATGAGGCCTCCGTAAGAAACGATTAAGTCCTGCCATTTGCCGCTAGGGGGAGGGACTTGGCAAGTATCCAGCTCTCAGCTTGGCAAGTATCCAGGCCTCAGTTTCTTGACTTTCTTCTTCGTCTTTTATTTTGAATTAGTGACTTAGAAGGAACTGACTCAGAGGGAGAGGGTAACACTGAACGGTCCCTCTCACATGCAGGGTGTAAGAAACATAGTGAGGGGAGAACGAAGGCCCAAAGATCATGGAAACCAGGAACAGGAGATCTGGTTGGTCTTCAGCAGGAAACATGCAGCAGGGGGGGAGGCAGGGAGGAGCGAAACCACGGTGGAGGAAAGAGCGGCAGGAGGAGATGGTGGGGAAAGCCGGTAACGTGTTACCTGTGAAACCCTGTCGGCAACAGAACTATACACCACCATGAAAAACATATTTTAAGAGAGTGCCCCTGAGAGGCAGCCGGTAGGTGGGAGGCAATGGGGGGAAGGGGAGGGGAGACTGGTGAGGGAAGTGGGCACCGATGAAGGGATTGGTGTTGAAACAATGTGTGCCGAAAACCAATCATGAACAACTTTGTAATCTCACAGTGACTAATTCAAAATAAAAGACGAAGAAGAAAGTCAAGAAACTGAGGCCTGGATCCTCCCGGCGGGATCTGGAATCAGAGCTGGGAGATGCACCCTGCTCTCACCTGAGTCACTCTTCCACCTTCCAAGCTCTTCTGACTCAGGACGGGCGATTCAGCTGTACCCTTATCACTGACGTGAGTCACCGGGAAGTCTGTCGCCGGCTCTCCATCACCTCCGCACCCCACACTGCTCTTTTCCCTCCCTCTGGCAACAGGGCCAGCAACTCAGCCCGGCTCCTTCAGCCTTGCTTGCATTTCTACCCATCAGCTTCACTGAAATATTAGCAGATTTCTGGGGGCTGGAGCAATAGCACAGTGGGTAGGGCGTTTGCCTTGCATGCGGCTGACCCAGGTTCGATTCCCAGCATCCCATATGGTCCCCTGAGCACCGACCGCCAGGATTCCTGAGTGCAGAGCCAGGAGTCAGCCCTGAGCATCGCCGGGTGTGACCCAAAAAGCAAAAAAAAAAAAAGAAATATTAGCAGGTTTCTCCTATCCAATCACTCAGAGGCGTCACAGAATGTAAAAGCAGTAAAAAGCAGGGCTAGAATAAAAGTAAAGGGGGTAATTAAGGCTCTTAACCTACATGCAGCTGACACCAGCTTGATCCCCAGCATCATACAGTGACCCCTGGGCACAGAGCAGGTCGAAGCCTCCAAGCACTGCTGGGTGTGGCCAACACTCCCTCCCAAATACATCAAGTACTCACTGTTTAAGGTGTCACTGAGTTTTTAATCTTGCTTTGGGGTCACACCTAGCAGTGCTCAGGACTCACTGCTGACTCAGGAGCACCCAGAGAGGGGACCTCTCGGTCCTCTTAGGCCACTCTGGGCAGGTAAAGAGGCAATGCCCAGTCTCCATCTGCCTCAGTCCCCATCCCCCAGGCTGCAGACGGGGCAGCAGGGGTATCCAAACAGTTAGGCGACTCAGAGCTAAGATCAGATGGAGTCTGTCCACACGGAGAACTCTTATCAGGCACGGGAGAACACAGTCGGCCATCACATGACGTCGGGGGTTTCTTAAATGCTATACAAGGTTCTGTAATTCTTAAACTCAAACGCCAAATACTGTACTTCTCGAGTAATCACAAACACAGAATAAGGAGAAGACCAATCAACATCTCGCCTCAACTATGCACACTGTAGCCATTAAGAAGACCAGGAGAAAGGGGACACGGGGACATGCGTCAGCCCAGGGTGGACCGTGCACCCTCAGAGGTCCAACCCCCGAGTCCCCACACAGCAATCCTGAAGCCACAAGAGCTAGGAGAGAGGTACTAACAGCTGAGAGCTGGGGAACCGAGCAGAAAGGTTCTGCCTGAGTCCTCCATCGGTACCGAGTACCACATGAGGGTCAGCCTGCTGGGTGAGCGCTCACCATGGAGAGGTGGATTCCTCACGGGGAAACAGGACACCCGGAGAAAGAGGGCAAGGGGCACCATGAGTGACTGACTGTGCTGCGCTGGGTTCAAACCACTGCGGGTCCCTGTCCTTGTCTGAATTCACCGAGTCTAAGTCGGCCAGTCTCGGTTCCCTAGAGCAGCTACAGGAACAGTGCAGGGGCCTCATGTCAGAGTGGGCACACCGGAGGCAGAGCCCGAGCTTCCCCCACCGTGGACACTGGGTTGGATGTGGGGAGAGCTCTGGTTGTTCAGTCTGGGGGTGGGGGGTGATTACTACTAACATCCAGAGGGTAGAGCTCGGGAAAGTTGCCAAACATCCAACAATGCGCAGGGCGGCCTCACCCAGCCTCCGAACATGAGAGGTGCCAAGCGCTGGAAAGCCTGACCCAGCACTCAAGAAGCACTTCGTAAATACGAGCCAACTTTCTCCACTATTATAATACAATAAACAATAAAGCTGCCTTTCTTTCCCTCAAGAGCAACCAGCACCGGGAGATGGAAATGATAAGAAACGAAACCCAGTACTTACTCCACTTCTCGTAATGCTGGGTAACAGGGCTGTCATGGTGGAGACTGGAAGAGTGTGTCTGCTGGGTTCTGGGGAACCCAGTAACTTGGTGAAATACAGAACGTAGCATAGCACCAGAACCGCAGTGTAGAAAAGCTGAAAAGAGGAAATCAAGGGCATATAAATTATACAGTTATAATAGGAGAAAACGAAGATATGCCTCTGAATTTGACCACAAGGGCCAAGCAAGAAACAGAACTTGCAGTTCACCTCCGGTTGTGCAATGTCTTGCCACTAGAAACGGCGCTCAACAGCCCAGGGAGACTCGGCTCCACTGCAGGGTCTGAGAAATCTCCTGCACACGGCCCTGACAGCAGCCAGAGACCGTTTCCAGGGCAGGCAGCTACTGATGCACACCACCATACCACACCACGCCGTGGGAGAGGGCCTTGGAGGGCTTGTGACTGGCCAAGGAGCGGCTTTCCCGCCTGAGAGCATGCTGGAAGATCCGGGGACTTGCTGTCACCCAGGACTGGGGATTTTCCATATGCCCCGGAAATCTGTGACCTTCTGATTACAAAGCAGAACTTAGTGGCTGGCTGGCTCCTCTGCTCAGAACAGGGTTAGGGGGAGAGGCCGTCGGGATGGGGAGGAAGGGTGTGGGGACAAGAGGACCTGCCTCTCCCTCCACCAGCTGGGACAACAGTGGGGCTTGGGAGCAGCAGTGAGGGGCTTTGTTTGCAAGCCAAGAAGGAGCACCTGAAGAGCCCTGTTCACTGGCGCCCTCCGCCCTCTCTCCCCGGGCCTTCCCCATGCTCAAGAAGCGACGGGGGAAAATGAAAGAAGTAGTGAAGGGGCTTCCAGGCCCTCTTTCCATCGAGAACCCCCCAGGGCACACTGCAGCAGAGGCAGAGCCAGGAGAGAGGCAGGGGCTCCTCTGCTCTCCACTCTCCCCTGCACGCAGACAGAGCCCAGTGCCCACTAGCCCCTGCTCGAGGGCCACGTGAGCGGGACAAGCAGCTTTTGCAGACCTGCTTCCTCCCGTCATCTAGCAGAGAAGCTGGGAAAACAGCGGCCGCCCACTGGGTCCTGCAATGTAGATGTGTGCTATCCCCCTTCTCCTTTGTTTTAGGAGAGCCACACCCAAGGGTGTTCAGGGGCTATTTATACCTTTAGCACTGAGGGGGCTTGGTGGACCTTGTGGTTCAGGGTCTCACATGCGCAAGCCAAGTGCTCTACCACTGAGCCACATCCCTGGCCCTATCCCCCTCCTTTTTTTTTTTTTTTTGCCTTTTGGGTCACAGCCAGCAATGCTCAGGGGTCACTCCTGATTCTGCGCTCAGGAATTACTCCTGGCGGTGCTTCGGGGACCATTTGGGATACTGGAGATTGAACCTGGGTCGGCTGCGTGCAAGGTGAACACCCTACCCGCAGTATTATCTCTCCAGCCCCCCATCCCCTTATTTAACTGAGGGAAGATCCTTGTGGCCTAACAAGATACTTGCATCCTTCTGAAGCACACACAGCAGCAATGCCCAGCATATCCACATGCTGTACAATTCCCGCTGACTCCAGAACTTTTTCCAGCATTTCAAACAATGGACTGTGGCCATTAAGTAGTCACTCTCCTTAGCCCCAGCCTCTGACAACCTCAAAATTGCTTCCGTCTCTAGGAACGTGTATGTTCTAGACAGCACACATATGTTTATGCCTAGCTTTTCCTGCCCAGTATCATGTTCTGAACTTCCTCTGCTGTGGTGCATGTCTATATCTACATCTGATTTTTGGTTTTGAAGTCACACCCAGAAGTGCTTGGGGGCAACTCCTGACTTCATGCTCAGGGGCTCTTCGGGAGGGGAGGGGTACATGTGGTGCCAGGAACTGAACCCAGGGCTCCCACTGGCAAAACACGATGTACTCAAGCCCTCTGAGCTATCTCCCAGGCCCACTACTTCATTTCTATGGCTGAATAATGTTCAACTACATAGTGCAATTTACTTATCTAGTCACCAGTTGATAGGTATTTGGCTTGGTTGCACCCGGGGCTACTGTGAATAGGGTTAGTATGAATATCTGTGTGCAAGTTTTTGTTTGAAGTTTTTGTCTTCAGTTCTTTCAGATATCAACCTAGGACTGGAATTATAGTCACATGAAAAGTCTCTGTTTTCAGTTTCTTGAGGAACTGCCAAAATGCCTGTGACCACTATAAAATAGCTATACCATTTTTCATTCGACCGGCAGTGAGGGTTCTATATTCTTACCAACACCTGTTATTTTGTTTGTTTAAAAAAAAAAAAAGTGTGGCCACTTCTGACTCTAAGATCAGGAGGTCACACCCGGCTCTCTGCTTGGGACCACACCTGGGGCTTCTCAGGGGACCATCTGCAGTGCCAGGACTCCAACCACTACCATGGCATGCAAGACAAGGGCCTTAGCCTCTGTGCTTTCTCCAGTCCTTCTAACAATTTTTATAAAACAATCCTCCCAGTGATTGTCAGATAGCTCATTGGAGTTCTAATTTACATTTCCCTAATGATTATACCCTTGAGTGATGTTTCTTGAGCTTGCTGGACTTTTAACTATTCATCTTCTCTGAAGAAATGCCTGTTTAAGTTCCTTACCTACCTTTATTTGTTTGGTTTGGTTTTGCTTTTGCCTTCTGGGCCACCTGGCAATGCTCAGGGGTTACTCTTGCTCTGCGCTGAGGATCATTCCTGGCAGGGCTTTGGAGGACCATATGTGGTGCCAGGAATCCGCCCAGGTCAGATGCATGCAAGGTAAGCATCTTACTCGCTGTACGATCGCTCCAGGTCCGTCTTCACACGTGTGTGTGTGTGTGTGTGTGTGTGTGCGTGTGTGTGTGTGTGCGTGTGTGTGTGTGTGTGTGTGTGTGTAGAGCACTGTCCTCCCATTGTTCATCGATTTGCTCAAGCGGGCCCAGTAACGTCTCCATTGTGAGACTTGTTGTTACTGTGTCTGGCATATCAAATACATCACGGGTAGCTTGCCAGGCTTTGCTGTGCAGGCGAGATACTCTCGGTAGCTGGAGGAATCAAACATGGTCAGCTGCATGCAAGGCAAATGCCCTACTGCTGTGCTATCGCTCCAGCCCATATACATACATATATGTATATGTGTGTGTGTATATATATATATATACGTATGTATACATGTTTTTAAAGAGATATTTCTTTATTTTTTAAGCGTTTTTATTTATTTCTTACTTATTTATTTTGCTTTTTGGGCCACACCCGGCATTGCACAGAGGTTACTCCTGGATCATACACTCAGGAATTACTCCTGGTGGTGCTCGGGGGACCATACGGGATGCTGGGAATCGAACCCAGGTCGGCCGCGTGCAAGGAAAATGCCCTACCTGCTATGCTATCACTCCAGCCCCATATTTATTTATTTTTTAATTGTTTTTGTCTTTTGGGCCACACCTGGCAAGGCTCAGGGGTTACTCCTGGCCCTGCACTCAAGAATTGCTACTGGCGGTGCTTGGAGGACCATATGGGATGCCGGGGATAGAAACTGGGTCGGCTGTGTGCAAGGCAAACATTCTACCCACTGTGCTATCACTCTGGCTCCCACAAACTCGGTGTTTCGCCTTTTTGTTATGAGAGTTGAGAGTCTCTCCATAGTCTAGAGAGCAGTCCTTAACCACCAGGCCACAGTGCAGCGCAGGTCAACTGGTGCAGAAAGGCTGAAAGCCACTGGGCCATCCTCGGGCTGTAACTGCCGGTCATGGATAGATGTGCAAGACAGGTGCCAGTCCAGGCATACAAAGGCCAGAGAACATCACTCTAGAGTGACCCTTTTATTTGACAGATGCTGCCATAGTGAAGGAGGAATTTGGAAGTGGGCTGGACAAACAGGAATCCCAGGTCCTTGACTACTGACCCTTATGACTCTCACACAAACAAGAGACTGTACCAGAGAGGAATCCTCTTAGAAATCCTACAATACGGAAACAAACAGACCACCCCAACTGACGCCCAAGCACTGAGCCAGGAGTGCCCCTGAGCACTGTTGGGTTTGGCCTCTAAAAAAGGAAGCAAAGAAACTAAGATCTGGCACTGCTAACCTACACATGGGATATATCCTATGGAGGGAACGATGACAATGAGAAGTCAGTGGGAAGACTGGGCATCTCTGGCCCTCCCTGCAGGGGTGAGTTCAGCAGAACAGCAATGCATCATGGAACGACAACTCCAGATCTAATCAGACCTGGGAAAGTCACCACATATAGCTCCTCTTAAACATTTTATCTCCAATTTTTAAATCTGGCTCACAAAAATGCTTGAAGTTTTTGCCTAGGCCGCAGGAAGGATTTTCACATAATTACTAAGAATTCTCAGTTGTCGAGGATGGAGTGATAGCACAGAGGGTAGGGCGTATGCCTCGCATGTGGCCAACCCGGGTTCGATCTCCAGCATCCCATATGGTCCCCTGAGCATCGCCAGAAGTAATTACTGAGTGTAAAGCCAGGAGTAACCCCTGTACATCGCCAGGTGTGACCCAAAAAAGCCAAAAAAAAAAAAAAAAAGAATTCTCAGTTGTCAGTGCCAGAGACATAATTTGGCAGGAGAACTCTTGACTTGCATGTGTGAGACCCTGCGTTTGACCCCCTGCCCCACAGAAAAATAAATACATTGGGTCAAATGTGATTCACTGTGCTGTGATCGTATTTTCAGACTTGGGGGATATTTCCATTCTAGAAATCACTTTGACTCAAGACTGCTGAACAGATGTATTTTTTTTTTCCTGTGTGAAATGGGCTGGAGCGATAGCACAGCGGTAGGACGTTTGCCTTGCATGCAGCCAACATGGCCGACCCGAGTTCGATTCCTCTGCCCCTCTCGAAGAGCCCGGCAAGCTACCGAGAGTATCTCGCCCGCACGGCAAAGCCTGGGAAGCTACCCGTGACGTATTCGATATGCCAAACACAGTAACAACACGTCTCATGATGGAGATGTTACTGGGCCCGCTCAAGCAAATTGATGAACAATGGGAGAACCGTGACCAGGTCAAATAAATATAGAGAGACAGCACGGAGGGCTGAATGCATGCTTTTCCTGCTGGAGCCCAGGTTTCAGCCCCAGCACTGTGTGGTTCCCAAGTACTCTCACTGCATAGGTCTCAAATAAAATGAAATATCTAAGAACCTTAAGCTATTTTCCTTGACATTTTAAAAAGGACAAACTTCCGTATACTATATAAGTTTCTCTAACTTTAGGTTTAATATTTTTTAGATTATTATTTTTTTTTATATTTTAGGTACCATAATAGGTTTAAATTTTTCTAAATTATCTCTTGTAGTAGAAGCTACATTTTGTTAGAACGAGAAATATTAACTAGAAGTAGAAAATGATAAGATGGAAATGAAGCCAAAACTGCCAAAGCTGAAAATGAGTTGATTCATGCCCTCTGAATTATGTGAAATTTCAATCTAAGTTTAAAATGGGCTTGGCAGAGTTTCCTCCTATTCTAAAAACAATTGATTGAAATCCAGGAAAAATAACACACATGCAAGTCGATTCCCACCACACCCTTACTGTTTTTTTCCCTCCTCTGTAAGACAATCAAAGATCAGTTTGATAATGGCTTGCCACAGAAGGTTAAAGAACTTCTTTACATATTACAAAAAAAAATTTATATATATATATATATAGAGAGAGAGAGAGAGGTGAGAGAGGCAAGAGAGGAGAGAGAGGAGAGGCGAAAGAGAGAGGAGAGAGAGAGAGGAAGGGGAGAGAGGAGGGGGGGAAGACAAGGAAGAGAGGAGGAGAGAGAGAGAGAGAGAGAGAGAGGCCCCCTCGCAGCAACGCTTAGAGCCATGGCAAGCAATGCTGGGAGGAGGCAGTGGTGTCAGGGCCTGAACTCAGGGCCTCCTATGGCTCTACCACTTGAGCTGCATCCCCCCAAACCTCACCCTGGCCCCTCCAGGACTTTTCAGTTTGACGATGAGGTGAACGTTGTCAGGGCAAAAAGCTGATAGACAGGGCAACCAGGAGAGAAGCAGGTCAAGAACATCTTTCTAGAACTTTTGGCCCTGCCTACATGCACAAATACTGTAAACACAATGTACCAAGTAATAAGAACAAGAGAAACATACATTATACCAAAGTTAAAAGCCATGAACCTGACCTGGGCCAGAGAGAAAATGTACAGTCCCCAGTGGGGCAGCCAGAGCACGAGAAGAGCAGTCAGGACACTCCTGAGGATGACGGACAGACTCTCGGCAATCACCTGCAAACACACGGCCAAGGGTCAAACATCATCGAAGACTGAAGATGCACAGAATGACAAAACCTGGAAAAGGAGTTAGTCTGGGGTGGCAGTGGGGCCTAAGGATGGACAGTCCTAATAAAATTCTCCTTAGGTGAGCAGGTCTGTGACCTTCTGAGTAGTACTGGACTATCTATGCATGTTGGGGCAGGAGAGATGGCGCAATAAGCTGGAGCAAGCCAGAGGTCAGGGCTGAGTCCTCAGCACTGCCTAACGCCCTGAACACAAGGACTGACATCAGAGTACAGCACCAGGGACAGACCCTGAACACTGCCGCGTGTGTCTCCCCTCTTTTTATTTATTTTTTAATTTTTGGGTCATACCCGGCGATGCTCAGGGGTTACTCCTGGCTCTGCACTCAGAAATTACTTCTGGTGGTGTTTGGGGGACCATATGGGATGCTGGGGATTGAACCCAGGTTAGCCGCATGCAAGGCAAATGCCCTCCCCACTGTACTATTGCCCCGTGTCTCCCCTCTTGAAGAAACATTTATATAAGTCATATTAGTTCTTTTGTATGAACCAAAAACATATTTTAGGGTGAGAGAGATAGTGAGTAAGGCACTTGCTTTGCACACAGCAGGCCGGGGATAATCCTTGGCACTACATATGGTTCCCTGAGCTCTACCAGGGGTAAGCTGAGCCCAGTCACTTGTGGCCTAAAAACAGAACGAACGGGGGCCAGAGATGTAGTACAGTGGGTAGGGCACCTGTCTTGCATGCAGGAGTCCTGACACCCCATATGATCCTTAAGCAACATAAGGAGTGATCCCTGAACACAAGCAAGCCACAAGCAAACTCTGAGCACCAATGGGTATGGCCCCCAAATCAACCAACCAAACAAACAAAAACCATAAAGGAACCCCCCCCAAAAAAAAACCAAACCTTAAACAATAATATATATACACATATATAGATTCAAAAGACAATTAGAATAGTAGCATAAAAAATTTAAATGATGCCTTTGCTACTAGTAAGTTTTGTTCATTAAAAGTAATATCAGAGATAAACTGTAGCCTAGTGCATCTGACAAATTTCAGGTCAATTAATTAAACTGACCATGTTGCCCTTTCCCAATTTTTAATTTTTTTGTCTTTTTGAGCATCACCCAGTGATGCTCAGGGGTTACTCCTGGCTCCACACTCAGGAATTACTCCTCGAGGTGCTCAGGGATGCCAAGGATCGAACTGGGTCAGCTGTATGCCAGGCAAACGCCCTACCCACTGTGCTATCACTCCAGCCCCTAAGATGTTTTTTAAAAGTCTAAAAAAACCATTCTTGCATATAATTGCTTTTATTTTATCAAGAGGGCATTGGACCAAAGCTGACAGTGTTCAGGGCCAACTAAGCCTGGGGTACTGGGCAATATGAGATTGAACCGGGGTAAACTGCATGCAGGGTGAGTGCCTTTAATCTCTGTACAATCTTTCCAGCTCCTAAAAGCTCCTACAAGTGATCTCTTTTATTTATTATTTCTGGTTTTGGAAACGATGATACTAAGGGCTTACTCCTGGATATTCCTGGCAGGTTCAGGGGACCATATGTGATGTCATGGATTTTATCTGGGTGGGCCACATGCAAGGCCAATGCCCTACCCACTGTACTATCACTCCAGGCCCCAAGTGATCTCTTTTTTTTTAAATTTTTTTTTAATTCAGATTTTTTCTTTTTTTTTTCTTTTTTTATTAGTGAAACACCATGAGGTACAGTTATAGGCTTACAAATTTTGTGCTTGGGTTTCAGTTATACGATGATCAAGTGCCCATCCCTCCACCAGTGCCCGTCATCCACCACCACAGGTCCCAGCATCCCCCCCACCCCTCATCCCCCGCCGTCCCACCCTGCCTCTGTGGCAGGGTATTCCCCCTTGTTCTCTCTCTCTTCTTTTGGGTACTGTGTTTTGCAAGAGAGGCACTGAGTGGCAATCATGTTTGGTCTATAGACTACTTTTAGCATGCTTCTCCCACCCTGGGAGGGTCCTCACAACACCCTTCATTTGGTGCTCTCTTCTCTATCTGAGCTTCCTTTTCACCTAGAACGTGTGGCTGGCCTTCCATTCATGGAGCAAAATTCCTGGTACTAATCTCAGCCATTCCTGGGTGTTAGTCTCCCATTTTGTTACTTTATGTTCCCCAGATGAATGCAATCTTTCTGTGTCTATCCCGCTCTTTCTGACTCATTTCGCTTAACATGATACTTTCCATGTAGTATCACTTGTATGTAAATTTCATAACTTCATCTTTTCTAACAGCTACATAGTACTCCATTGTGTAAATGTACCAAAGTTTCTTTAACCAGTCATCTGCTCTTGGGCACTCAGGTTTTTTCCAGATTCTGGCTATTGTAAAGAGTGCTGCAATGAAAAAACAATTGCAGATGGCCAAGTGACCTCTTTTTAAAAGACCGCTCTTTCCCTTCCTCTTACCACTTCCAATTCCAGGACACACACTGACCTTGAGCTTGACAAACATATGTGCTTGGGCCAAGACCCAGAGGGGCTCTCCCAGAAGTTCCACCACTGCTGAAAGACCAAAGACCACCACTCCAGTTCCATAGTGGGGTACAGTATTCGGGTCAGGTACTTCAAGCAAATGTAGCCAGACCCAGCCCAGGAACAAGGACCAAAACACACCCAGGGGGACTCTAGAAAAGGCAAAAAGAAAGAAAGAGAGAGAGAGAGAGAGAGAGAGAGAGAGAGAGAGAGAGAGAGAGAGAGATTTTAATATGCTATATATTAAACAGTAACACAGAATAGAAAAGAAGCAGTCGTAAAAATAGCTACTGCTTATTAAGGTACTTACTACATGCCAGGCACTATGATTCACCCCTTTATCTCAGTGATCCCTCACAACAATCCTCTGTCATTACCCTCACTTAAAGATGAGGAAACTAAGGCTGACAGGCACTGGGTAATGTGGCCAAGATCATAAACATAAATGAACACATAATGAATACACTAATGAAACATAATGAAGGGCAGAAGCAGAATCCAATTCTGTTCCAATTCCAAAACCTACAATCGGCTCCACCGTGTTCCACTAATTTGATAAAAAACAATTCCCAGAGAGCACGCGCCTGTTGTTTATACTTGGGAGTGCTGACAGACGGCATACAGTTGGTTCTTGCACCCCCAGTAAGTAACCTAACAGTCCAGCACACCCTTCACACGTAGGCCGCCATCAAACCTGAACCTGAAGGAAGCCAATCGTCATCCCGCTAGTAAAATGCATCCCAGCAGCAACTTGGACAGTCACTTCCACAAGGCGAGGCCGTCATGCATGAGCATGCGGGAAGCCACCTCAGCAGACCTACCAGCAGGGAGCTGCTGCAGGAAAGTCATTACAATTAGAGCCAATGGACTTGGTCTTCAGGAATATTCTAAAAGGCTCAGAGCTGGAATCAACATACCCAAAATTGAGGAAATATATAATGAAACTCATAAAAGGCTTTCAAAAAATTACCAAGTACTAAGTGGTTGTTGAAAGCACAGAAAGTACTGCCGGAGAAGGGTGGAGATTAGGGATGAGAAAGGAGGCCCAGTCCCTGTGGAGCGCAGCGGCGGCTCTCGGGGCGAAGTGGAAATGACTAGCAGAGAGGGTGGACCAAGGCTAGAGCCATCTCTGATACACAGAGCCCCACATTAGGGTCCGCCCCTCAGCTCCTGGTCACAGATAAGAAAAGGACGCAGGAGCTATTCCACACAGGCTCTCCCTGCCCGCCCCACACCAGATGCCCAGATGCCCGCAGGAAAACTGAGGCTGGAGACAACTGAGCTCCAGGCAAGCGCGCCCTTTCCATCCAAATGCTCACTACTCCTGCTGTCACGAATGGGTGCTCCCAGAAGCACTACTCACGTCAACCAAAGGAGGTTGAGGGTCCGCCTCCAGTCTCGCTGGGCGCCCCCACTCAGACACGCTCTCCGGAAGGCCTCTCGGGCCAGGAAGACGGTGGTTGAGTAAAGCAGCGTCAGCCTGTGGAAATCAGTAAGGGTCTTACTTCATGGAGAACGTCTAAGATCTACCTGGCAACAGGGAGGAGAAAAAACATCCTGGCCAAGGTGGACTCGTGCAGGGCTGCCCACCAGGCCGGTCCCCCGGAACAAGCAGTGTGAGGACACAAAGGAGGGTCTTCATGTGCCTACCAGGTTGGAAATGGCCACGGTGGCCCAAAAAGCACTGTGAGCTTTCTCGTGATGGCAGGGAAGTGGCTCTGGTCACGTGGAGGAAAAAAGGCCCAGCTCTAACTCCACAGCTAGGGGACGACTTGGTCACCCTGACACTGACGTCCCAGTAACCCTTGAGAGAAACACTGAAGGGCTACTGAGCAGAGGTGGTGGCCAGGACTGTCAGAACAAGCCATCGGGGGCGGTCACCCGAGGCAGGGCAGCCTGGGCCAGTCAGCAGGCTCTGTCCCGAGAGCACAGTGGTGGCCCGGCTGAGACCAGAGTGGAGAGAGTGGCACCAAGGTCCCTGAGGTAGTCTAGCAATCACCCTGCCTTACCAGTATTTCTGTCCGACACTCGATGAGGAGACTGAAGCTTCCTTTAAGGGAAGCAGGAAGGCACAAGAGTCAACGCAAGGCTCTGCCAGCCAGGGGGAGGAGCAGCGGGCTTCAGTTTCTGAGGACCGGGGTCTCTGCCTTCTATTCTGGGGGTGGGGAGGCAGGAGCCGGGCACACCCATCAGTGCTTGGGGGCTATTCCCCACTCTGTGTTCAGGGAACCATGCGCAGGGACTCAGATCTACCTTGCGCCTCCAGCACGCACATGCTCCAGCCTGTTACGCGAGCTCTCTGGCCTCTCTTCCTTCCTATCAAAAGGTCCTTCTACAAGTACGGTCCACCTGCCAAAACCACCTAAGGAATTTGTGAAAACACATGTGTCTGGGCTCCTCCTCAGCCCCATCTAGTGCAAAGCTCCCTGGAGGATTCCCCTGCGCCAAGCACCTTCGCGAAGCTCGGAGAGTCCAAGCGCATGTTTGGTTGAGTATCAGACACGAAATGTTGGGTCTGGAGAGACAGTACGGGGGTAAGACACTTGCCTTGTACGTGGCCAACTCCAGACTATTCCCGAGCACTGCATATGATCCCCTGAACACAACCAGGAGTGACTCCTGAGCACTGTGAGGTGTCCCTTATCCCACTCCCCAACAATAACATAAAACATACACGAAATGTTATCTGGAACATACTGTCTTGTCAGGGATTGGGGTTTGGGATGGAAACATCCCGAATTTGGTGGTGGGATTGGTGTTTGAATATTAAATGTAATCAAATATTGTGAACTAACTTATAAAAGAAAAAAAATTTTTTTTGAAAAAATAAAAAGAACACACTGTCTTGTTTATCAGGAATAAAGGCATACCTGAGAAGCTGAGCTATTCTGAGCACTAGCATCCCTTCCTATACTTACTTGTGTGTCATCTGTGAGTGTGTGTGGGTGTCCCTGAACAGAGAGGGTGAGAGCAGAAGAAATAAAACTGAGTCTAAAAAGACAAAGCAATCAGCTCTGTAAGCCTCCCTGGAGCTAATGATAAGAATTCAAGCCCTCATCCCAGCTACCATTTTCCAATTATAAAATGCACCAAAGAGGGCAGGAAGGTTGGCTGTTGCAGCCCTGTAATTACAGAGCCCATCCTCACGAACTGCAGATTTCTTGCTTCCGTTGCTGTCAGCAGGACAAGAACACGGGATTGTACCTGAGACAGGGTTTGCTCGAAATTACTCCCACTCCTCCCCCAGGTTCTAGGCGCAGGCACACCGGAACAGGCGGCGGAGAAATGTACATTTGGAGGCAGCTAATGGAAAACACTCCATGGGTCCATTAAAAGCATCCCTGCCCGCTCATCCCCTGCCCAGCAGGCTCTTCCTCGGCCCACTGCTCAAACACTGATTCTGGAAAATGCTTTCCAAAGAGGAGGGTGCCACCCAAGTTCAAAGTTTGAAGAAAGCCTGGGGATGTGAGCCGTGGACAATGGCAGGGTACACTCCTTCTTACCTCACGTTCACTATGCCAACAATTTCCTTGGACAGGAAGCGAAGTATAAATGCATTCAAGACAAAGGTAATCAATCGAAACAATACCTACAAAAAAAGTAAAACACATCAGAATAAATTATGCTGGGAATGTTTACTCTGCTGAAATGAAAACTATGTGACTGCTCTTCTAATGAGTCGGAAAGATACACAGTTTTGTCAGGGAGACTCCAAAACACTCAGCCTGGGTGAGAAAGAAGTCCAGCAGGCAGGGTGCTTGTCTTGGCATGCAGCAGACCAGGGCTTGGTCCCAGGTACCCCATGGGGTCCCCTGATCCCTGCCAGGAGTGAACCCTGAGCACAGAGCCAGGTATAGGCCCTGAGCACCCCCAGCATGGTCCAAAAAGACAAAACAAATAAATGCTCAATCTGTCTGCATTTTTTTGACTTTTTTGTTTGGGGCCACACCCTGTGGGACTGGAGGATCACGCCCTGCTGTGCTCAGGGTCATGCGGTGCCAGGCTCACGCCAGGAACGCCTGCACACAAAGCCTGTGCTCTGATCCTCTGAGTTCCATGGGGCCTCTGGCTCCGTTTCTTTTTAGTTTATTTTAAAGAGGGGTCACACCCAGCTCTGCGCTGTGGGGGAGGGTGCTTCCAGCAGCGCTGGGTGAACATGCAATACCAGCGATCATACTGGGGATCAAAGGGGTCTCACGCTCGCACAGCTTGTGTATTTGTTTGTTTGTCCCGGGCCTCCTAAGCAGTATTCAGTGAGTCCCGACTTGGGAGTTCAGTGTGAGGGCAAGGGCTATGGTGCTGCTTGGGTGCTATAGTACAGGGCTCACCAAACTACTCCAGTAGTGCTCAGGGGCCTATCAGTTCACTGCAGTCTGGAAATCTCCAGTGAAAGGGATGGACAGGAAGGGAGAGTGTCCGTCCAGTGTCACTGACAGCCAGGCCTGCACAGCCAAGACAGCACAATTGGAACCTTTATAGAGTCAAGGTGACCTTTAAGGAGTCTGTGAAAAGCTTTGTAGTTCTCTTTAGAAACAATACGTAAATATAAGCACACACAAATTCTGTACTTAATTTTCGAGGCTTGAAGCCAGTTCAAGAAGTTCTTAATGGAAAAAGCACTCAATCGAATGAATCTCAGCTCACATTCAGTTCTTAGGCCATTCATCTCCTAACTTTAATAAGCCTAATTTCCTTCTTTGTCGAATAAGGCACTCTTTCCTACAGAGCTGATTAAAAGGATCAAATGAGACCAAAAGGCAAAAGCACTTTTGAAAAATGATTACAAATAAAAGGCATTATTGTTTTTACTGTCTGGATGCAAGTTAAGACAGTACAACAAAATTGCAAAACTACTTCAAGTGTCTGCACTGTTATTTGAGAAGTCATACAGGACTAAATTAAAATATACAAAAACCAAAAAGGCTATGGTTACTTTAAAAAAATATATACATACGTTTACATTGACTTTAAAGTTGTATAAGTTATCTAAGAAATAAGGTCTCAGGCTAGATCCAATCTCCTAATTGGTATAAATAAAGGTTTGAGCTAATGAGGTTCAAAGGTTACTGATTCTACCCAGACTATCACAATAAAGCAAGAAGACTTTTTCACTCTGCATATAAAAAGTTAGGGTTTTACTATTCTATCAATATGCAATAGCACATCTAAAAAAAAAACAATGTACAAGACTGGAGATATAGTAGAGCAGGTAAGGTGCTTGTCTTATGCATGGCTGAGCCAGATTTTGATCCCTGACATTTCATATGGTCCCCCCAGAACCACCAGGAGTGATTCCTGAATGCAGAGCTGGGAATAGCCCCTGAGCTTCTCCAAGTATTGTCCAAAAACAAAACAAAACAAAACAAAAAACAACATGCATACCATATTAGAAGACGTTTTATTGCTAAAATATTCTAATCATTATTGAGCCCTGAAGATAGTAATCTTTTGGTTGGGAGACAGTTACAATAGCAACATCAAAGATCATTATAACTGTGATGTAAAAGTAAAAGTAAAAGGCCCTCCCGTTGATCATCGATTTGCTTGAGCGGGCCCAGTAACGTCTCCGTTGGAGACTTTGTTGTTACTGTGTTTGGCATATCGAATACGTCACGGGGAGCTTGCCAGGCTCTGCCATGCGGGCGAGATACTCTCGGTAGCTTGCTGGGCTCTCCGAGAGGGGCGGAGGAATCGAACTCGGGTCGGCCATATTGGCTGCATGCAAGGCAAACGCCCTACTGCTGTGCTATCGCTCCAGCCGATGTAACCAAGTAATAATCACAGATAACCATTAGCAGGCATAATAATGAAAAGGTTTCAAATGTCACAAGAATTACTGCTGCACAGAAATTACAGAACATGTCTTTTTAAAATTGGCAATGAGGGGCCACAGCGATAGGATAGAAGGAGGGTGCCTGCCTTGCATATGGCCACCCCAGGTTCAATTCCTGGCACCACATTTGATCCCCAGAGCACCACCAGGAGTGATCCCCGAGCAGAAAGCCAGGAGTAAGTCCTGAGCACTGACAGATATGGCCCCCAAATCAAAAACTGAATTCAGGCCAGAGCAAGACTACAGTGGTAAGGTGCTTCCATTGCAGGGGGCTGACTGGGCTCAAACCCTGGCACACCAGATGGTCCCCTGAGCCTGCCAGGAGTGATCCCTGAGCACAGAGTTAGGAGTAAGCCCTGAGCACCACAAGATGTGCTCCCCCCAAAAAAAAAGACAAAACAAGTACATTAAAATTTTTAAATATAAAAAAATTAAAATGATAGACTTGCTTGATGTAGCATTGCAATATAACCAGCATTTCATCTATGCTTCCTAATACCCCTGAGATTGAGGCTGCATTATGTTCTTATCTAAGAAGAGGAAATCAGGTTGGAGAAATAGTACTGATGGCAGGGTGTTTGTCTTGTATGTGACCAACCCAGGTTCAATCCCCAGCATCCCATAAAGCTGCCTCCCGGGCCCTGTCAGGAGTGATCCCTGAGCACAAAGCCAGAAAGAAGTAAGCCGTGAGCACCACCTGGGAATGGTTGGTCAAAATAACAAAAAAGATGAGGAAACTGAAGTTTCTCACGCTCAGAAGTCAAGTGACTTTCCTAAGAGTAGGTGCTGGCAAGTGACAAGATTCGAATGAGTCCTTCTGTGGGATTCTTTCTCCTAACTTCCAGCTGAAGTGGGGCCCTTTTAAAATAAGGGGAAATTCAGAACTTTTGTAAAGAAGGGTTGAATGACTCCAGTGAGTCACAGCTTAAATGACCTAGCTTTACAGTTAAAGAGTCTTTAGATCCGCTTTGGGCCATCTGACAGCTGGTAAAAGTTAGAGGCCAAAAGTTATGTGTCTTAGCAAGAAGCTATTGTCTCCAAGGACACATCGCTAGAAGGAAGCATCAGCCAGCATTGACTAAGAGTCAGGTACAGTGTTAAGTGCAGTTTTCTGAGTGACCCCAACATAACCTCATAGCTGTATTATGAGCCAGGTGCTATTATCTATCATCACCCACATTTTCCTAAGAAAGGGCTGAGCTTAGCAGGATGGCACCTTCCCTAGGCCTTGCAGGAGGCACAGAATAACACCAGTATCAAATCCAGAACTGCTGGTTCTAGGAGGCTGAAGAGATAGTGTAGTGGCTATGGGATTTGCCTTGCACGCAGCCGGCAAGGGTTTGATTCTGACACCCGGTATGGTCCCGGGATCCCCTCAGGAGTGATTCCTGAGCTCAGAGTAAAGGGCAACCCTTGAGCACCACCGATGCGGCCCCTAAACAAAATAAACAGAGTTGCTGGCTCTAGGTTATGGCATATTGTCTCAACTGAGGTTCTGAGGCAGGCCACGGAGAAAATTAACACTTAACCTCAAAAAAAAAAAAAGGATCCGATTGGGGATAGCACAGCCGGTAGGAGGACGCTTGCCTTGCAATCCAGTCGACCTGGGTTGGATCCCAAGCACCGCTAGGGATGATCCCCGAGTGCAGAGACAGGATTAACCCCTGCGTACGGCCGGGTGTGGCCCCCCACGCCCCACCACCACCACCAAATTGCACCACAAATTGCATCCCTGACGATCCTAAGTGCCGGACGAAACGAGACGGTGCGCGGATGGAAAGTGGGGGACCTTGCAGTCTCCCCTGCCAGGGCCACAGGCAAGTCTCCAACCGCGGCACCAGTCATGCCCACTCGGCCGCAGCTGCTGCCACTCGCTCCCCTCAGCCTCCGGGTCCACCCACGCCAGAGCTGGGTCTTCTCCAGGGGGTGCGAGGCGCCGCCTCCCCGCGAAACCCGCCCGACGAACGGGCTGGGGACGGACGGCCGAGTACCTGCAGGAGCAGCCCCGAGGAGGCCAGCCGGGCCGCCTGGCCCAGCACCTCCTGGCCCCGCATCGTCTCGGCGCCTGCGCTCCGTCACCGGGAAGCACGGCCGCGCGCCGGGGCTGTCGTCGCGGGGAGATGGCGTCACGGGCTACTCGCACGCCGATTGGTGCGATCAGGCGGCGGGGGCGGGGCTTCGGCGCCCCCTGACCTTTAAAGTTCTCCGGCCGGGGCTGCGACGGCCTCTCGGCGCCTCTGGCGCCTGCTCTGGCCTTTGTTCTCGTGCCTTCTGCGCTTTCGGTTCCGCGCCTTCCGGTCCGAGGAAGTTAACAGGGCACGGAGCCGCTGTTAAAGCAACCTTTCCTCGGAGGCGCCCCGTCCGGTAACCCAGAAACCCTCATCTCAGCTGCCCGCAGGGGAACGGACCACCCGCCCACCTCGCTAGGAACATTCTCGCCCCTTTCAGCTCCCTCTTGCAAGGCCACAGCCACAGCCCCTCCCGGGAGTTTAGGCTGGGCCTGGACGGTCCCCATTTCACCCCAGAAAAGCCTTGTGAGCCCCGAGGTGCAATGCAGGATTTTCACCCGTGTGCTTTTTGTGTAATCCTAAAGCTCAGAGAACGCGGCCCTGGTTGTTGTTTCAATGAGACTTGGGAATGTGAAAGGACTTAACTCAGATCTGTCCGATTTATCGCGGGGCCGCGTGACCTCAGGATTTTGTCCCCAGGTTGCTACTTGTTGTTTGCGTGTTAATGATTATGGGGACACAGTGGAAGGAGGGCGGGAAGTGCTCTGCAACTTGAAAAGCACCCCACATGTCAATCATTAGCTGATGTTCTGTCCTCATACCTCACCCGCTGCTGTGGGAAGCTCAGTTTTCCCTCACTGCCTTTAAGCCTTCAGTGATTTGACTCCAGCCTCACTCGCCTTTCACATATTCCTTTCACCTTTTCTAACAGTCTAGGCTCTAGCCATTCAGAGCCCTTAACATTCCTCAAGCAAAACCTTTCATGGGGATGGGGGAGGGGAGGAGGGCTGGAGCGATGTACAGTCCTTAGGGCTAGGGCATTTGCCTTGCATGCCTCTGACCCAGGTTCAAATCCCAGCATCCCAGGTGCTCATCCCTGAGCACCGCCAGGAGTAATTCCTGAGTGCAGAGCCAGGAGTAACCCCTGTGCATTGCCGGGTGTGACCCAAAAAGGAAAAAAAAAGAACAAAAAACCCTTCATGAGGCTCTTGTCACACTCTCCCCATAGTGCCTTCTCTGGGCCTGCGAAATGATACAGATGCTTATCTTGCATGAGGCAGAGCCGGTCCCATCCTGGACACTACATGGTCCCCTCAGCACCTCAGATAGTGACCTGCCAGTGGAAAATCTCCCCTCACCCCCAGCACTTCCAGGTGTGACCCAATCCCTCTGGTTAAAAAACAAACCTACAAGTTGCTGTCCTGAATAGTCACCCCTGCCCTACCTTTCAGACCCCATTGTTCTACGACTGAGCACCACCATGGTCTCCTCTAAAAAACAAAATATTTGCATTCTCCAAAGTCGTCATTGAAGCCTTATTCATCAATGTGATGGTGTTTTGGAGGCAGAGTCTCTGAGAGGTCATTAGATTCCAAGTGGGGAGTTTCATGCTGACTCACATCGGCTGCAAACCAGGAAGACAGCTCTCACTAAGAGGAGAATCAGCGGGCACTTGATAGTGGACTTCCCAGCCTCCAGAACTGTGAGAAATAAATTCCTGTTGCTGAAGTCACCGGCTTGCTGCACGCAGTAACAGGAGCCCGGAGCAGACTCTGGCAGCTCCTCCAGAGCACTCTGTAACCCTCCATCATTCTTAGCACAATCTGTTTTGCAGACTAGAGTGTGTGTCTCTAATAGCCTAGGAACTCGAGCGAGGCAGGAGTGGGCCCTCTCTGGCTTTGCCTCCTGCAGCCAGGTCAGAGAACATTCCTGGGCCACTCATAAAGTTGGGAGTCCTAATCTCTTATTGCTGCCGCTGGAGACTGTGGAGCTCAATGCCTGAGCACTGTCTAACCCCTCTTACCAGAAAAGCCACGCTAAATATGAACTCCCTCCCCATCACTACCAACAACAACCCACTCCCTGTGCCCATGTTGCTGGGTTTCAAACCCAGGGCCTCGCACATGTGAGACCAATGCTCTGCCACTGAACTACAGCGCTTGCCTGTGACTGGCCTGGCCCTGAATCCTCACTCTGCCACTCACTAGCTGGGTGACTTCAGCATGCTCTCCTATTGTTCATTTGGCCTGTGAAGGTGACTGTAAGGAAGAAGGCAGACAGAAGTTTGGTCCTTAAGGAGCTTCAATTGCAGTGAAAGGGAAACTTAAAAATAAGCCCCCCCCCCCAACTAACAAACAAAGGTTCCCCTGGTGATAAGTGCTCTGGAAGAATGAGGTCAGATAAGGCCATGGAGGCTCCCAGGCAGGAGGGTGGGGTGCCATTCTGGAAGGCAGAACTAACCAGGCACCTGCCAGGGAGAGGAATCTACCTTGAGAGGAGAGCCAAGTGCTGGAGGGTCAAGGTATTTGACTTAATGATCTAGGTGCTCAAGCCTGGCCTGGGCAGCCTGCTTGACCTTGGAAACTCCATGGACCTTGGCTGGCAGGTGAGGTAGGCAACTACTTCCTTTACTCCCCGCCCAGCAGCCCCTCCTCCACAGGGCTGCCCTGGAGCAGAACCAGCCACAAGCTCCCAACCCTGGCTACTAGGCAGGCTGGCCTGGGAGAGTTAGATCACTTTGCTGGGAGCAAAGAGGGCATGCTCCAAGTTGAGTGCAAAAGGCAATGCCAAGCCAGAAAGAGAGAGACAGCGTAGTAACTGGAGCATGCGCTTTGCATGCAGGAGACCTGGGTTCAACCCTCAGCACCCTGAGCGGTGCTTGGAACAGCCCTCAACACTGAGCTGGGAGGAGCCCTAAGTACTGCTTTGGTATGGTTTTTTTTTTTTTCTTTTTGGGTCACACCTGGCGATGCACAGGGGTTACTCCTGGCTCTGCACTCAGGAATTACCCCTGGCGGTGCTCAGGGGACCATATGGGATGCTGGGAATCGAACCCGGTTGGCCGCGTGTAAGGCAAACGCCCTACCCGCTGTGCTATTGCTCCAGCCCCTGCTTTGGTATGTTTTAAAAGCCTGTATCACTGCATCACTGTCATCCCATTGGTCATCGAATTACTCGATGAGTGGGCACCAGTAACTTGTCTATTCCTCCCAGCCCTGAGATTTTGGCAGCCTCTTCTTACTCATTTTTTTTCCCACTGATTGGAGGCTCTTTCAGGGTCAGGGGAATGAGCCTATTGTTATTATTGTATTTGGCATATCAAATACGCCACAGGGAGCTTGCCAGTCTCTGCCCGTGTGGGCGGGATACTCTTGGTAACTTGCCGGGCTCTCTGAGAGGCATAAATGGGTAGGAAGTGTCTTATAGTGGCACAGAGTCTGTTGGCATGGTTCTGGGAGCCTCCTTTTATACTCCCGTCTGGGAGGAGCATCCGTGAGTTCTGGAGGGTGGCCAATGAGGAGATTATCTGGTGCTGGCAGGGTGTGGCTTATGGGTGTGATCCCTGAGTCACCGGAGAGGGGGATGCAGGGAGAGGATCTCTGTTCCGGGTCCTGTAGAGTCCAGAGTCCAAGGTCACAAAGTTTCTCATTATCTGGGTTCCCTGGGACTTCATTCTTGCATGAGACTCGGCCTGAGCATCTGGAAAGCAGCCTGGAGTGTTGGGCAGTGGAGGTCAGATGCTGGGCTGGGTCCCTGTCCCTTGGGGTGGGGAGAGGGCTCTCACCTGCCCCACAGCCTGGCGTGGAGTCCTGATATGTCTAGGTATGAGTTCATTATCTTCTATTATATTTCTTTGTATCACAAGTTATGTTAAAAACATGAAAAGGAGCACAAGAGCTTTTGAGACATACAACAAAGGTAAGGCATATGACTAGCCCTGCTTTGGTCCCTGGAATCACAGATAGTTTCTCAAGCACCACCAAGAATGATGCCTGAGCTTCTGAGCACAGAGACAGGCGTAAGCCCTGAACATCACCAGGTTTGGCCAAAAAACCAACAAACAAAACCCCAAAAATAAAGCAGTTCTTGGGTGATTAAATTATAGCACCTATGAATGTATTTTCTATTCAAAGTAAATTGCCATATGTATTTTGTCTCTTTTGTGCATGAAGAAAAATTTTTGGGTACCAGGGAAAGCTCTGTATCATGAAACAATGATTTATTTCTCAGAAATGTTTTTATACTTTATTTCTTGATCATAATAAACTTTACCTTATCTGTAGTATTTTTGAAAATAAAATATATAAAATGTACTATTTATAGAAAAATATTTTAAAATTTTATATAAAACGCAATATTTCTTGCAAATTCATGCATTTTTATTCACTCCTAATTACTCACTGAATAGTCTATTTAGTTAGTATATCTACTATATTTGGCATATCAAATACACCACGGGGAGCTTGCCAGGCTCTGCCCGTGTGGGTGGGATACTCTTGGTAGCTTGCTGGGCTCTCCGAGTAACTTTGATTGTTACTCTTTGTATCATCTCAATCAATGCACCAATCTCGTTTTAAGAATGGCAAGTTCTGGAATATAATTTCTTCAGTCACTCTTCAGTTTTCCCTCTTTCTCTTCTTCAGGAATTTCTGTTATTCTGAGATTGTTCCTCTTGAAATTGTTGGAAACAATATGTCTTATGTTATCTTTCATTTTTTTTAGTCTCTTCTACCTGATCTCTTCTTATTGATGAAGTTTTGTACTGATCTTCAAGAGACTGATTTGTCTATCAGTTTCATTTATTCTGCTGTTGATACTTGCTATTTTATTCTTTAGAGCCTTTCTTTCCACTTAAAGAAGGGCCAAGCCATGTTGGTGAATGAGCTCAAGAGTTTTCTATGACAGGCATGGTTTTATGGCTATCTCTCTCTTGGCGTTCCTTGCACAATCATGGAGGTGCTGAACCAGTCAATTGTATTCTTCGTCAATGTCATCAAAGATGGCCTCTTCCCATGTTGCCGCAATAGTGCCAAAGATCTCCCAGTCAGTGGTCATTCTGGGATTTCTCTTCTTAAACTTTGCAGCCCTTTCTCTCT